AGCTAAACTAGTTCAAGTCTCGTGACGATTTTTCACGACTACGCAAAACTTTGGCTAATACACCCGCAGCTAACGTCTAATACCATGAGCTTGTGGTTTTCCTGGCGAGCTGACCCTCAAAGTGTCAAAAACTGTTTAAGTGCTCGACTCATTTTCAGCTATTATTTATTTGAGTACTTTAATTGTTGAAGTATCTATTAACTGGTTTTTTTCTTTTTTGCCATAGTTGTAGTTAACAAAGCGGTGATTACCCGCCTGAGTTGTGATCATGCTGAAAATTATGCAAAAACTTACATTCGCTGTTTTTCTGTGTTGTAAATATAATTGTATAACTTTATGAAAAATACCCGGGCAGGGGAATGTTTGGATAACTGCAATATTTAATAGTGTTAATGAGATACTTTTTTTAAAAATTAGAATGTTTGTTAATTCCCAAACGATTAAATGTCTATATTAAAATATAATTTGTTGTTGATTTGCTTTAAAACCCTTACCATATATATATAAAAAATATTTTTTATTTTTAAATAATTTTACCGTGTACATATTCTGTCTGTTTTAACAGTTTGCGAATTATAAGTACAAAACACATGTGTGTATTGGAAAAGAACGAATCTGGGAAGGGAATTCAGTTCAAGACTGACAAATCTTTAAGACGTTAAACTTGTATTATATATATTTTTATAAATTGAAAGATAAGTATAGTATGAGTATAGCTGTACTAATGCTGTTACTTATATAGATAGATATATTGTATAAGTATTTAGTATACCCCTATCCCTCTTAAGAAGATACAGAGTCGGAGTCGGAGTTGTTTCCCAATGAATGTTATCGTTATTTACCCGGCAAGAGACACAGGGTACAATATATTCTCCAGCAAGCTTCCCCGGCATGTTCCCGATGCCTTACCCAATATAAATGGAAGTGCGTTTCGCAGTGACACTTGGACATGTGACTGTAAAATGCAACGCTGGCAAAGAGGGTGCAATGATCCGTAATTTGACTCAAAATCGAATCAAGTGCACATTCTTATGACTATGCCGAGAGATGCATCAGAAGTCGCAGCACCAGCACCGAGTCGTCTGTCCTCATGGAGGGGATTCAGAATTGTGGCAAGAGTTTCCTCTGCTGTCGAACGGCTTTCAGCTGTATTTAATTGACCCAAACGCAGAGTGTGGCGCCTATTGGAGCTCTGTTTCAGTTCCATCAATTCAGAGGTCACAGTCCGCACTTTACTGATTGACAAAACACTTGCCGAGACGCGGCGCATACCATAAATAGACCGTCCGTCCATCCATAAAGGCATTTTATTTCGTACGCTTCAATTAATTTGTACGAATAAATAACGCAAAATACTCAAATGAAAGTTAGATACTCAGAGTATGATGGCCAGTATTCGTCGTCGACTCATATATACGTACACAAATATACCAGCTTGAACCGGAAATGTTTTCGGTCAGGGACAATCGGGCAGCGGTTTTAGCCGGATTTGGGGCTTTGCATGAAAATATACCCGATATTTTCGGTCGTTTTCAATACCCTATACCCAACCATGAGACCTTGACAGGTTGTCCACGAAGTCGATTACGTATTGAAAATATAATATATTTGTCTGCCTCTTCTTCTTTTCAACAGATCTCTTCAGTAAATAATACATAGATTTGATTATTGTATAAGTAGATGCTTCAATTCAGATTCTCATTTATATAATTTACCGTATGTCGAGGGTATTAAATGTTCGATATATCATAGAGAACATTTCTTGTCATTATTATTTGGCATAATTTTTATTTAAATGTTATACAAACAATTCGATTTCAATTACAGACTATCATGGTGAGGCATGCTATGATGGCTAGTTCGCTGACTTGTGGCCAATTAAAGAGCCGCCACCAATCTAAAACAGAAACAAGAAAGAAGGGTTATTTTCGGCACGCCGAAGATTTAATACTCTCATAGTGCATTGCCCGTATACAAGAACCTACTTTTCGATCGATGGTTCCTATGGCAGCTATATGATATAGTAGTCCGATGCTGATAGGATTTATCATATGTATGAGGAGCATAGTAAAACAAATAAATGTCGAGTTTGGTCAAGATATCTTATAAAACAAAAAAGTTTTCCATACAACAACCAAATTTTTGACCGATCGTTCATATGGCAGCTATATGATATAGTAGTCCGATGTAAATAACATCTTGCAAAAATGAAGGGGGAATAGTGAAATCTCTAAATGCCGAGTTTTGTCAAGATATCTTGAAAAACAAAAATATTTTTCATACTAGAACCTAATTTTCGACCAATCGTTCCTATGGCAGCTATATGATATAGTAGTCCGATGCTGATAGGATTTAGCATATATATGAGGAGCTTAGTAAAACTAATAAATGTCGAGTTTGGTCAAAATATCTTCAAAACCAAACAAATTTTCCATACTAGAACCTACTTTTCGACCGATCATTCCTATGGCAGCTATATGATATAGTAGTCCGATGTTGATAGGATTTTGCATATATATGAGGAGCATAGTGAAACTAATAAATGTCGAGTTTGGTCAAGATATCTTATAAAACAAACAAGTTTTCCATACAACAACCAAATTTTCGACCGATCGTTCCTATGGTAGCTATATGATATAGTGGTCCAATATAAATAAGATCTTGCAAAAATGAAGGGGACATAGTTCCCTGGACTAGAAACAGACAGACGGACATGGCTTTAGCGACTCGCCTCTGGATCAAGAATATATATACTTTATGGGGTCGAAAATGTCTCCTTCTGTGCGTTACACATGTCACGATCAAATTATAATACCCTGTGCAAGGGTATAGCAACAGCAATGAAGATCATCACACGCAGTTCCGAGCTGTCTGATCGGACCGGATTACATACGGATCACATGCGTGGGAGGGTGGGGGGCAACTTGATATGTTGGCATAAGATCTGATGGGAATGGCGCGCGCATTAATTAAAGCTGTCTGCATTCATTAAAAGAATGGTGTCCTCGAGAGAGAGTTGGTTGGGAGCAGGGGTGGCAGGGGAGGGGGCATAAATAAAAGTGCTGATAGCAAAAGTAATTAATAAATTTGTTTAATTAATGGCCGTTATTATCAATTAATATGCTATTTCCTCTTCTTTTTCACTTTATTTTTATTTGTTTCTTATTTTTAATATTTCTTAAGTACTTATATTATATATATGTATATACTTAGTACTTGGGAGCATGTTGAGCGTGTTTGCTCTTGATTATCAGGCTTGTTGAGTTCAATCGTTCATTTGCTCTGCAGTCTGGACAAAGTGTGCCATTGATAATAGGAATATAAAAAAAAAGAAAAGTTGACTGATAAACCTGGAATGCCCATTTATTGAGAATATATAATATAATAATACTAAGCTGTCCTCAAGTACCGGGCCTGAGACTATATAGTATAATGCCAAAACTGTTCTCAAGTACTTGGCATTTAGTTTAGTTGGATGAAACAACATTACGTATTATTCTGATAAGATTCTATAAAGTCGATTGTTTATATGATTTATATGTATATATATTACAACATAGTTGTGGTCGGATCGGGTTGGTAAGACGGAATAGAACGGATATTATAATTGAATGTTACGCTTTTCTTGGCTTTGGCAAACATATCACGTTTCCACTATAACAATTTACAACAGGCAATGATATACATTAAGATAGCTCATTTAGTTAAGGCAAAGCTCGGGTTTCGTTCATCAAGAAACTTGAACATATTTGATATACCATATAGTATATACATATAAACATAACTAAGCCGGCGTAAACCGCAACCGGGCAAATGTCGAATATTATAGTAACAAAACTCGAAACTAATTTCAGCTAGAATTTTTAATAGACACTCGTGTACCAGATGTACGAATATAGCGTGCTTAGTCGACTAATACTCAAACCATTCACTTTAGCACCCTACCAGAACCAAACCCCTCCCCCCCCCCCCCCCCCCCTAACAGCACTTAATTGCATTGCACAAAAGCAAAAACCCGCCTTTAACTGGTAACGGTTTTTAGCTAAGTTTGTGAAAAAAAAAAAGTTTGAGATAGAAAAAGTGGTTGCACGTGCTGAATACTCTTTTGTCGAGCATTGAGTGTATGCGGAATTCATTTCAGACTCGATTGCATTGTTCGAACTATAAACGAATAAGCTTTATGTGATTCATCAAGCCTTTAAGGATATATGAGAATCTCAGATACATTCCGACACCTAACCTAAAGATACAAATTGCAAGCTTAGTTCGTTTTATGCAAGAGTAGTATAAAGATTAGCTGCTAATTTTGAAAATAATTTAAAACATTTTAAATGTGACTAAAATTGACTTCATAAAAAACAAATGTATTTTAAACAGGCAAATTATTTGCAATATACTCCATGACTTATAGAGTAATTTATATAGACAATTGCCTTTATTTGAAGTTGAATGCTGTTTGCTGCAGTTAAACTTTTATATAAATACGAAAATACATGTAAAGCTAGTTAGTATATGTTTAGTTCTGTTGTACCTGTTGCGCGTGTACGGTACGTTAATGATTCACATCGAAAAACTGCTAAATATTCAATATAGCCTCGAATCGAAAGTTAAATAAACGACAAAAAAATTTGCACTAATTGTGGCATATAACAAAGCTCCTTGGGAACGCTTGAAGCATGTGAAAGACGACGTCGATCACGAGCACGGGCGGCTTGGTCAGATAACGCTTTTTATGAGTTGGACCTGTAAACAATACAAACATACGCATACATATGCATGTATACATGTGCATGCATACATATAAAGCTTGCGACTCCTTGACGCAGCGATTGGCGCTTGCAGCGACGCCAGCACCAACAACTCCAGAGACAGCAGCAGCAGCAGCAGCAGCAGCAACAACAGTTGAAGCAGAGCAGCAGCCGCAACAGCGCTTATCTGTTCGCATATAAACTAAAGTCAGTGGAAATAATTTCTCATTTGAAATTTAACAGCCGACGTGCGCGGAAGGCAGAACAAAAGCGCGAAGATCGTATGGTGTGAATACCGCTAAAACGAGTAGCGACAGGGAAAAAGCACACGCACACACACACACACTCACACGCTGACTAAGAAGCAAGACAAAGAGGACTACAGTGGACAAGCAGTGCATTTCATAGCACATTTCAGTCTAGTGTGCAGTACGATTCAAGTTGTCGTTGCGTGTGGTTCTTTAGCACGGTCCCTCTTCACCGCCGTCCCTCTTCCTCTCCCACACTGTTTCTGTCTCCGTCTCTCTTGCTTTCGCTGTCTGTTCTGTTGCGCGCGCGCTTACTGTGAAAAAGTGTACAAAAGGAAAACAGTGTAACCGACCGTCAAGGATCTGTGTGGCAAGTGTAATTGTTGTTCGTGGCGCCAACGAGCAGCGTAATTTGTAATCGTGGCGAAGGAATTGTCCAACCTATTAACGTTGCAAGAAAACCGAGCCGAGATGACACAACAACCGCAATGGGGCATAAGCTTATCAAAGTGTAAGTGTAACAAGAATCTAACAAAAATGCATGTGTGCGAGTGTGTGAGTGGGTGAGTGTGTGAGTGTATGCTGTGCTATGTTTTGAATTGGGAATTCAAATTCAAATTAGATTTTGAATTCGTTGAACTCGGTTTCAATATTCTTGAAATGTGTCTTAATTATTCTTTAACCGACATTGACCGACAACAACAACAACAACAAAAAGAATAGCCACAACAATTTAATGCCAACTTAAGTGTTAAGCGCACATGTGTATGTATGTATGTGTGCATGTGTACATGTATATACGAATATCGCATAAAATACAATGACAAAACGTTTTTGTTTCTTTGCATTTGCACTTCCGATTCAGTTTTTTTGGTTTTTTTTTCGTACATGCTTTGCTTACGAATATTATAATACTGCTTGATCTTTGTTTAAATGAATTATGCCAGGCACGCGTCAACATAATCAACAATAATCTTGCGGTCTATCGATCTCTAATTTGCCTATTTCTATGTGCATATGACGGCGTCTCGTCCAAATTTGCATGTGAATTAAGAAAGGCGAGACAAGACGAGACGATGACGAAACACTTGGAACATGTCAAAATCATACAAAAAAAAAATGAAGCTCGACTCAAAGAGTTCTTTGCTATTGCGATGTTGTCTACGCATGATTGTAGGGTGCACGGGCTTCTGTGATGCGGCTTATCGATTTCCGCAGGCTTTTTGTCAACATTCTCATTTAGATATATATTTGTTGTGTTATACATATATATTAGCATAAATTCCCCGGCTAGCCAGTCTTGCCGGATAATTTATAAATAAAATAACGAAACGTATTTATTTATACGTGAATCTTTGATTCTGACAATAGAAGAGAATATAGTATATATATTTTGTAAATAAAGAATATCATTTAAAAGTGATAAATAAAAGTGCTTAAGCCTGAAAAATATATAAACAAATGCCAGACACCGGAATATCATTAGAAAGTATTTATCTAAAAATCTGATATATATATAAATAGTTCAAGAATGTCGTTCTAAAATTTAGTTGCTAGTTTCGAATCAAACTCGTTGTTGATAATATGTTTTCCATGTGGAAATATCGTAAAAGTGTTGAACGATCGTTAAACAAAATACAATTTGCCGGCTATAAAGTAATCTTCCCCTTGAATGGGGCTAGCGGTAGCTTGACCTCCTTATATAGAGCCAACATTCATTTCCTTTCCATTGTTTTTGGGCAAGGTCAATGTAATAAAAGAATTCTCTTTTTCCACTTTGTCGTCTAGGTTTCATAATAACAAGTGTTCGGTTCTTGTTCAGGCATTTCTCTGCTTTAGAACATAAGTATAAATAAAATATATATATAGATATAGAATGTATGTCCGAAAAAAAAGAAAATGTTGTAACGCTTCGAACTGGAATTTATTTACAGGTTTATGAACGCGTGCGCTTTTTTTTTTGTTATATGCAAATTTTCGCCGTAACGACGTAAAAAACGCTTTAAAATATTAATTTATAGTTTTGCATTTTTTTTTGTTTTCTTTATTTATTTATTTACTCTTATTTGTTGCTGTAAACGTGAGCCAGGTACTTAACTATTCGAAGGTTTGACACCTCTGACTGGCCATCCATCATGTCTCAACTTATAGATTTTTCAGTAGGCCCGATTCTTGGATTCTGTCGAGCTGCTGTGCTTATCTCAGTGAAAGCTTTCTCTCACTCTCTCCCCCTCGCTAGCGCCGTGCATTGATATATGCATGCTTGGACTCGATGAACTCTCGGTATTAAAACTTTTCCATGCCTTATCCGAAGCCAAAGTGGATCGATGAACGCGCATATCTTAGACATGCCTCGTACTTTAGCCTCGAGCTAAATTTTCGCAAGAACAAAAGCCAAACAGTACGAGAATGCATTATATGTCTAAAGAAACCCGATTACAAGACATGCATACATATATGCATGTACATTTTATAAGTGAAAGTGAAGTGATGAAGCTTGAAGGGACTGCAAACCTAGGAGATACTCTGCATTCTTAGCAAATATTTGCATCTTCCTTCCATTACTTAAAGCTTAAACTGCTCTGCTTCTTCTGTCACTCTTTTGTAGAAGACTTCCTGCGACTGTTACATGCGTCTCCACCAAGTCATTGTACCCTGTTTTACCCTAACATATTTGCATGTGTTCACGCAATAAAACCAGATAATAAAACTGACTAGTCAACGCTTATCTGCGATGCCCGCAATAATTATTAACTTAATGTTAAGCCCATCGTAAATTAAGTTTATCCACTTAAAAAGCAATAACAAAAAATATTATTAATAAACTCTTTGTGTACACTCGTATATACGTATTAAAAGTTGCATCAAATGGAGTTTCAGTCGTCCCGGAAATGTATTTCATACAATTCTCATTAATCGCTTATTATAGCAATTATTGCGCTTATCGCTCTTATCATGATTCGCAATGGATTTGAGCATTGGCACATGCTTTACTTTCCGCTACCATATCTGGACAGTATATGGGGATATATATGTACCTATCTAATCGTGTGATTGGGCCTTAGAACCGCGTGAAATACGGCCACACCCGATATGATTAGCGCCCCATTATAGCGCCCCATCCCGATTTTGTTTCAGATTTGTATGGCTTGTAAATTTGCCGTCGAGTGTCGGCATTTTGTTAAAGTATTTGCTAAATAGTATGGTAAATATTGGGACATCATCAAATTGTCAGCCGGACTGAAACTACGTAAAAATATTTATTTGTATGAATGCTAATTTATTGATCCAATCGAATTGGCAGTCGGTGACGTCGATGCGGTCGGTCTATAATAAATCAAAAGCTCATCTTTTTATACACAATTAACACATGTATCTTAAAGAGATGTCGAGCTTGAAACCGGAACTGGAACTGGAACTGGAACTGGGTCGGGAATCTAGAGTTCGGGTTCGGCTTGGGATTGGGTGAAGCGTGTATAATTACGGCTCTGACAATGAGAACATCAACAATGCCCATTTTTGCTCTAATAATAATGTCATGAATTGTTAGCTCTTCGGCTTGGTAATGTGTTAATCAGCTTGTTGTTGCTTGGGTCAATGTTAAACATATTTTGTATTTATATAAAAATCAACCTTCAGAGTCATGTCGACATTTCAAGAGATACAAGAATTCAATTGGAAAATCAACGGAAACCCGTATCAATTGGTTGTTGTTGTCGTTCTTGATGTTCTGACTATTTTAAAGCACCAAAATAAAAATAAAATAATAAAAAAACAAACTTGAGTACAATTTTAATTGCCGAGCAACTGGCGCTTTATGATCCATCAGAGCACACTTGATATATGTACCTCCGATTTGGGCTGGCTACCTTATCGCGAATCTTTGGCATTTGGCCTTATCAAGACATCATTTCAATTAACAAATTATGATATGAGGCATACGTAAATGAAGAACTTCAACTGAACCATAAACCAGCGGCCATAATTCAGAGAAATAAATACAAAACAAAAAACAAGCGCATACAATAAACTCATAAATATTTGTATACATATGTAGATTGGGCAAGATCTAATCGTTCAATAGTTTCTATAATTTGTATAATTTATTTAGCTTTACCCACAACGAGAGATTTCCAGCTAAAAACCTAGGTGCTTGGGTCACGTTACAGATCCGTTTCCGACTAATAATTTATATATATATATATCGAGATTTATATATCTGGCAGTCGCATGCAATTTGTCTACACTAATTGAAAAACTTTCAAATTGTTTATGCGCATGTTAAACGATTTTATTCAATTTAATTTGTTCAAATTACCCAAAAGCATTTGCCGATTGTCACTGGCCAATGTACATTGACGTCAGCATTTTAGTACTAAGTATTTTAGTATATTGTTAATTGTTTTATTAACCAAATTGTATTGTTTTTTTATTAAACAACAGACTTTATATTGCCGCAACGTGTGATATTGGCCATAATGGGCTTTCTGGCCATCCTGAATGCGTACACGATGCGCGTGTGCCTCTCACAGGCGATCACCGTGCTCGTCATGAAGAAGAACAATACGGACGATGGGGATGACAGCCATGCGATTTGTGAGCCGGATGACCTGGACGAAGGCACCGCCGCCAGCGGTGGCGAATTCGAGTGGTCCGAGGAGCTCCAGGGCCTGATTCTATCTTCCTTTTACATTGGTTACATTGTCACGCATGTGCCCGGTGGCCTGCTCGCCGAGAAATTCGGCGGCAAATGGACCCTGGGCCTGGGCATACTCTCGACGGCAGTCTTCACCATGCTCACGCCTCTGGCCATCAACCTGGGCGGCTCCGACTGGCTGATTGTCACCCGTGTGCTGATGGGCCTCGGCGAAGGCACCACATTCCCGGCTTTGAGTGTCCTGCTCGCCGCCTGGGTGCCGGCTAATGAACGCGGCAAATTGGGCGCTTTGGTGCTGGGCGGCGGTCAGGTGGGCACCATTATGGGCAACATGCTGTCGGGCGTGTTTCTGGACTCCTACGATTGGTCATTTGTGTTCTACTTCTTTGGCGGTCTCGGCGTTATTTGGTTTGTCATATTTGTAAGTATTTTCTCTTGGTAAATAACTGGTAATTAATTAAAATAAATTCAAAATTCAAATAAACCAGCACGTTCAGTTGAATTAAGCTCACTTAAGCCTAAAAGATTAGCTGATTTTAATCGGAATAGGCTCAAGCTAGTATTTGAATAATTCGATTAGCATTTTACTGTTAAATCAATTCCATATTCTTGTACATGAAACTAGTATCTTACCAATCAAATTAGTTAAGTAGTTAAATAGTTCACTAATTCACTAGTTCATTTTGTTAGTTCTATTCAAGCTCAACTCCGTCTGAACTGCTTTAAGTCTGTTAAGTCTGTTGCATTACCTAAAGTCTGTCAATCTATTAAGTTACTAGCTTGACTTAACAGTTCTGTTAATGGTGATATTTGCGCTGTTAACTCATATACAAACTGTACTTTACATTGCAGATCATGCTGTGCTTCAGCGACCCCAGCAGCCATCCTTTCATCAAGCCCAGCGAACGCGAGTACCTCATCAAGGAGATCGGCACAATTGGGCGCAACGAGAACCTGCCACCCACACCCTGGAAGGCCATCCTAACCAGTTTGCCCATGTTCGCGCTGGTCTGTGCGCAAATCGGTCACGATTGGGGCTTCTATATCATGGTAACGGATCTGCCCAAATATATGGCCGATGTGCTGCAGTTCTCCATTAAGGCAAACGGTCTCTACTCCTCTCTGCCCTACGTGATGATGTGGATCGTGTCGGTGGGCAGCGGCTTTGTGGCCGACTGGATGATCCGTCGCGGCATCATGAACACGACAAACACACGCAAGCTGATGACGGGACTGGCTGCTTTTGGCCCGGCTATTTTCATGGTGGGCGCTTCATATGCCGGCTGCGATCGCGTCCTCGTCGTGGTGCTCTTCACCATATGCATGGGCCTGATGGGCGCCTACTATGCGGGCATGAAGCTCAGTCCGCTGGACATGAGTCCCAACTATGCCGGCACCCTGATGGCCATTACGAACGGCATTGGTGCCATTACGGGCGTGATCACACCCTATCTGGTTGGCGTCATGACGCCCAATGCCTCGCTGCTCGAGTGGCGCACCGTCTTCTGGGTGGCCTTTGGCGTGCTCTTCATCACGGCCATTATCTACTGCATTTGGGCATCCGGCGAGGTGCAGCCCTTCAACGATGCGCCCATCGAGCCGCGCAGCGTCGACTTCGAGGCCATGGAGCGCAAGCCGGAGCCCAAATTGAAGGCCATGCAGCACAGCTCCTAGTGGCCACGTACCCAAAGTGCCATAGCCATCGTCATGGAGCATTCGTCATGGAACCTCCCGAAGACATTGTTAATGTACAACGTACATCTTGCGATCATCCATTGCAATTGCTAGTTCTATAGTATGCCAAATTGTCGGCCCCCAGTGCGCTGTCTAACTAAGTATATCTAAGTATATCTATAATCCGTAAGCTTTCAGCTGCAGATCCCTAGCTAACTATCCCGCCCGCCTCAGCTCCGATTAAGCGAATTTACTTTATAATATCTACTTTGTGTATTTGCCTGTAGCATGTACCCCTCCCTACCCCTTATGCCCACCCACTCCTCTTCCTCGGCCCTCTGCAGCCATTTACTCTCTTAATTATTATTTAGTATTTAATCGAAACAAATTCAATTTTAGGCTAGCAAGAAGAACAAGTTAAGTTGATAGATTGTATCTAATGTGTATTGCGAAATGTAAAAACCAACCCAATTTAATAATTGTACGAAATTTTTTAATTGTTGATCAATGTGTAACGTTATCGTTAAAACATAATTGTTTTTATAATCTTAGTCCAAATAAAGTGCATAAAATAATTAAAAATAATAAAATCTGATGAGATTTTACCAAGTTTCTATAGAATATTTAAGTGTACCATTTACACATGAATTTTAACCAAGAACTATGTTGTGTGTGTGTGTGTGTGTGTGTGTGCGTGTGCGTGCGTGGACCTGTGTCTGTCTGCGTATGCATGCTTGTATGTATGCATGCTTGTTTGCCGCTGTGCAGCGAATTTAAATAAAACGAAGTGCTCTCCTCCTCGATTCTCAAAAATGCAGGTAGACTGCAGTTTTTCATGCTTAACTAGTGGTGTGTTTTTTTTTGTGATTTTTTTTTTTGTATTTTTTTTTGGTGATTTTTTTTCGGTGTTTTTTTTTGTTTTTTTTCTCTGGTGTCTTTTTTTTGTTTTTTTTTTGTGATTTTTTTTGGTGAGTTTTTTTGGTGAATATTTTTGGTGAATTTTTTTTCTGTTATTAACAGGTATGTATGTAGGTATGTGTGTAGGTATTTATGTATGAACGCATGTACGCATGCATGTATAATTGCTTGCATGTGTGCATGTATATTTGCTTGCATGTATGCATGTATATTTGCTTGCATGTATGCATGTATATTTGCTTGCATGTATGCATGTATATTTGCTTGCATATATGCATGTACACATGTGTGCATGTAGGCATATCTCTTTCCTTATTTTCCCGGGATTAGCGTTTTCCCATTCATTCAGCTCTCCCAGCTTCACAATTGTTTGACGAATAGAAATCATTGTATGGATGTGAAATAACTCACATGTTTTTGTTGATTTGATTATATTTGTTATAAGTTGAATTTTCATTTATAATGTTGCCAATGCAGCGGAAATTGCGAGAGCTCTTTGACTGTAAGTAGCAGAAGGAATGGCAGCAATCGAAAGTTATGACAACTGATCGGAACAGATCTGCAGGTGCAGCAGCGTTTAATCCTTTGCGGATTCACCTTATTAGCCATTGTCAATGCCTATACCATACGCCTGTGCTTGGATTTCTCACTAGATCGCATTGTGCGGGACTGCAATGAGTTGGCTGCAGTGAATCCCGTTAGGGTTCCCACGAATGCAAAGCCACTTTTGGGAATCAATCTGCATACGGCGAGAAATGCACCAGAAGGATTTAGAAGGAGGACAACCCAGGCACGTAAAACTGGGCCACAAGAGGACTTGGGAATGAAATTGCCCTACAATGCGACGATCACAATTTCGAACAGCGCCGATGTCTGGACAAAGGAAGTGCAAGTTCTGGTCACCATATCCTTCTACACCGGCTACATGATCACCCACATTCCGGGTGGACGCTTGGCGGAGCGTTACGGCGGCAAATGGGTCCTGGGCTCTGCAATATTATGCTCCGCACTTCTCACGCTTCTCACGCCCACAATAGTTCGCAACGGTGGCCCCAATGCACTCGTGCTCCTGCGCCTGCTAATTGGCTTCTGCGAGGGACCCACCTTTCCGGCCGTGAGCGCTCTGCTGGCCCAATGGGTGCCGGAGAAGGAGCGCGGCCTGCTCTGCAGCTGTGTGCTGAGCGGCGGCGAAATCGGCATCATATTCATGCACCTGGTCAGCGGGCTGGCGCTCGAGGAGCACAACTGGGCCATTGCCTTCTATGTGGTAGGCTCCGGTGCGGTGCTCTGGTTTGTGGGCTTTGTGAGTATGCGTCTAGTGTTTGTCAATAGTCAAACACGCCCAAGCATGTCGAGCACAGTAGGGATTGCAATTGCTAGTCAAGCCTTGACGGATCCTTCCCAGATTATAGTTTCAGGAATATTGTTAGATTCAGATTCACCAGACTCGGCATTTATTAGTTCTGCTTTGCTGCTTATATACATATTCTATACATATTCTACAGCTCTATAGATCGAATATGGATTTATAGCTAGCTTTTCTATTTTCCAAGATATCTCCCCAACAAACTCGGCATAGCCTTTATTTCTTGTAAATATTGTTTTACTATATTATCCTAAAGTGTAAAAAGTTGCATAGGATGCTTTAGAACAAGAGACAATGATGAAGCTTCTTCGAATCTCGAACTGATTCGTCCTTTTCCGCAGATTTTAGTCTGCTACAGCAAGCCGGATGCCTCGCCGTATATACAAAACACCGAGCGGGATTACATCAAGAGTCAGGTGAGCGATGAGCTCGTGACGGATGATGCGAACGCCAATGAGGCCGTGCCCTGGAGCAACATGCTCATGAATGCACCCATTTGGGCGCTGATAGCAGCCAACATGCAGCATGACTGGAATCAGCACGAGCTGGCCCAGGAGCTGGAAAAGCTGCTACACGAACTCGAAGCCAAGGGCAAATCATTTTGGATGGAACTGGAGGCCAGCGTGCAGCTGGCGGCCCCACATCTCTGCAGCTGGCTGGCATCGCTCACATCCGGCACGCTCAGTGACTATCTGATTGCCGAGGGGATACTGAGCCGTACGCAGACGCGTCGCCTCATGTCGTGGCTGGTCTTTGTCAGCGTTTCGATGTACATGCTCCATCACAAGGAGAACTGGGCGACTGCATGGAGCATTATGGCCTTTGGAGCCTATTACGCGGGCATCAAGCTGCTGCCCCTGGACATGAGTCCGAACTTCGCTGGCACCCTGATGGGCATCTCGAATGGTCTGGGCGCTCTGCCCGGCCTGTTGCTGCCGATGTTGCAGCAACTGGAATCCGAGTATGCCATCGTGGGCAGCATCCGTGCAGCGTTATGGCTAGTCTGTGCCGGGTACATATCGGGTGATGTGCAGTCCTATAATAGGGTGCGAAATCGGCCACCGAACCGAACCTGAGCTCTCAATGGTTAATTACAAATGTTTATATTGCTTTAAATCTAGGCTAATCTTAACTATTTGCATAGTTGGGACTTAGGCAATACTAATATTTATATATAGATCGTAATACACGAAAGGATACTTAAACGATGTTAGTTTCATTATCGTCGACTTTCATTGTTAAAACTAGGTGCACAATAACTAAAACGGGATTTTCCACATTTTTATATGTATATATAACATCGGGCTTATCGATTGATTTGTTTGATTAGTTTTGGGGGTGAGGTTAGGGGTGGGGTTGGGGGAGCAGTTATCGGTATTAACATAGGTAGCACAACGAACGCATAAATGCTGTGGCTCAAGCTGCGTCTGCCCATCCTGCTCCCCTCCTCTACATGGACGCTTGTGAGAGAAAGCCGGACTGGGCCATGGCTGACACGGAATTCATGTCGATGCCCAGCTTGCGGGTGACATTGATTTGAGCTAGCGCCGCATTACGCAACGAGTAGACATGCACCAGCTCCGCCTGGCTCTTGGCATAGAGCAGCGCCTTCTCAAACAGATCAACGGCACGCTGCAGCTGGGCGCGCTGCACCTCAACGGTGCCGAGCGTCTCGTAGGCCAGCTCGCACTTCGGATCCACATCGATGGCGCGATTTAGCAACGTGACGGCAGCCTCAATGTCGCCGCGCCACTGCAGCATCATGATGGCCTGATGGACGAGCAGTGCCGGATTTGTGGGCGCCCTCTTCATGGCCATCTCGTAGAACTGCTGCGCCTGGGGGAACTGCTGTTGATCGGCCAGTACCTGGGCCATCAAGCTGTAGCACTCGACGCAGTCGGGAAACTTTTCAATTGCCTTCTCAAAGTCTTGTATAACGCGCTCCAGGCGCTTCTGATCGCCGGACATCAGCGAGAGACGATACTCGGCATAGCACTTTTGCACATTGGCAATGGCATGTTGTGGGGCCAGGCGGACCGCCTTGTCGAACTCCAACAGCGCCGCCTCGATCTGCTCCAGCAGAAGCAAGATCTGTGCACGCTGATGATACACATCTGGATTGTCGGGCTTCAGTTTCTCTGCCTCCGCAAAGTCGGCCAGTCCCTTTTCGCGCTCCTCCGTCTGAATGAAGAGCGCGGCCCGTTTGATGAACGCGTAGGCGCGCAGCGTCGTGTCCGCATCATCTGAAAGATTTCAACTGTGACAAGTCCCTAAACATGGTGTAGTTGCTGCTTACCATTGGCTAGAATGGCGTCAAAGTCGACTTTGCTGTCGGCAAAGGAGCCGCAGAGTAAGTGGAATGTGCCGCGCATTAGCAACGCCTCCACCTTGTATTGTGATTCGGCCTCCGAAGATTCAATTTCCTCGGTGCATGCCGCAATAATTTCATCATATTTCTGCTCCTCGAATGCTTGTCGGGCGCGCAAAAAGCCGCGTGCCGGTGTATCTGCCACAGCCGAAGGCGGCACATTCATTGTCTGCAGCGGATCGGCTATAAAGGAACGCATGTAGGTGTTGATGAAGCTTGCCGAGGGCACGACGGGCACTCGGTCGCGCAGACCCTTCTCGGCATCCAGGCGGCCGGTCTCCTTGAGCACTCGGTCAGCAAACATGATGGTATTGTTGTTCTGGAACATCTCCAGAATGCAGGTGGCGGTCACATCGTCCAGACACTCAATCATATCCTTGGTGGCCTCGTGGGCTCGTGCTCGCCTATAGTAGGCCTTGGCATAGCGCGGATTGTACTCCAGCGAGAGGGAACAATCCTCCTTGACCTTATTCCACTTCTTTAGCATCTCGTAGGAGGCAGCGCGGTTCTGATAGAAGATTGCCATGTCCGTGCGATGCTCGGTGGGACACTTGTCGATGGCCTTGTCGTAGAAGCTGATGGCCTCATCGTACTTGCCATTGCGATAGCAATTGTTGCCTTCCGTTTTGTAATTGTTTGCCTCCTTCAGCGGTGACAGCTGCTCACCCAACTCGGCCGACTTCTTTTTGCGCTCCAGTTCCGAATCGGGAGCGGTGCCATCTATGGACAGCGTTTCCTCTATTTTGCCCTTCGGGCGCGTCTTGCCGGCATCCTTGGGCTTGTTTTGCGACTTGCCGCGCTTGGTCTCGTCGCGTGAACTTCTGTTGAGTACATACATGCCCAGGCCAATGGCCAGGGGAGTGCCCAATAGAAGCGCCACTTGCCATTTGTTTAGCTTAACTGAGTTCATGTTGAGGAACGTTGCCATTTGTGGGCCTTCCTAATGTGTGTGCAGCTTGTAAAAACTGCAAATAGAGAACATTGTGTAATAGTCGACGGGCCTTATCACACGCAGAGTTCAGGGCGCGAACGCCGAATCGCTAAATGCCGGGGGGCCATTTGTCACCTAAGCGCTGCCCTTCCCCTTATTGATTTTTAGCATGGTAGCAGTTCGGCGACGGCTGGCTACTCACGTTTGTCTTGTAATTTAACACTGCAATGAATTTTGCAAATATGAACTGTTACTTGAATGCTTTTTAGTGAAAAGTAAATACAAATTAATATTATGGAATACAACTAGCCTCCTTAGAAATAGAACACACCGAACCGAACAGCTGTGTAACCGTTGAGCTGCTGAACGACTGTTATGCACATGTGACAGCTGGCAGGGCGCCCACAAAAAGCTCGTTGCTATAAGAGCCATGCATTTGAAAAACTCACCATTTAACAGAATGTGCATGGGATCAACAGTTTATCTTATTATAGTTAACAGATAATCATTGCTCAAATATACCGTATTCTCAATTTGCATATGATTTGACATAATATATCACATACAATTAATGAAATATTTTAATTGATTTCGAATAAGTTAGTATTTGGTAGTAGCCTTATTTATAATTTGCACTAACCGGAAAATAAATATGTTGATAACAGCGTGTACGGGTAGTTAAACTTTTTATATAAGGTCAGGCCGCAATTTCCGCTTTAACTGCACACACGATCATTCATAACATACATATACATATACATACATACGTATAGTAGGTGCGCATTTTACATTGAAGTTTATTGATTAAAAGAACAAAGGAAAACATGTCATCGCAAAGCGTTGAGTTTAGTGCAAATGAGTTCAACCGAAAGGCTATAAATATGCACACACACACCCAGTGCAACAAGTATGTATATATATGAAAAGCTCTTTTGTAACTGTGTGAGTGTTCGTTGCGGCGGATCTGAACTCCAACTGTAATGCAAGCGTTTTTAGTATTTTAGTAAAAACTGCCGTTTGTTTTAGTTTCTCTTTTGTTTTTATTTTTATAAGTTATAGCTAAAGCAAACTTCATAATTTGAAACGCACTAAGCTTAACACTAAAATTATAAGTCTGTAAGTATATGTATTAAATTTAGGAAATTGTTTAAGCTAGAACTATTCAATACGTAATTCCAGTGCGTTCTCTTCCAGCGTCAGCCGACAGTGCCAGCTGCCGCCGAAGCAGCTTTTGTTCTCCTTCTTCCCCTTTCCTTCTCTCCCTTGGGCTGCTTTTCAGTTGCTTTAATTTTCAATTTCTACCTTTTTCTCTTCTCTTGCTCTTGCAGCTTAAATTCAGTTTCCTTTTCTTTTTTATTTCTTTCTGTGTTGTTGTATCTCTGCCTTGGCGTGCCTGTAATATCAGTTCTTCACAGTTTTCTTGTTGTTGTTGGTGTTCATCAGTTTGGTCAAAATCTTTCGCGAATGGCCAGACGGGTCAAAGTGGTTGGTGTGCTCGCTGGCCTCCTTCTTGGAGCGCTGCTTGCCGCTGTGGCCCGAAAAGATGTGTTTGCCATGGTCGTAGTTGTAGTGCTCGTATTCATCAAAGTGTGCCTCAGACATGATGTACTTTATTTCTGATATATATATATATATATATATATAACTGAGATCTTGCTTTTAAAAAGTTTTAAAGGGCTTCTTGTTGACTTTTTCTCTTTGTAGTTTGTTTTTGGCTGGAAGTTGTTGTTTTGGTATACGCTTTACTTCCACAGATTCTCGATGTTGTCGCAGCAAAATCCAAATACAAATTGAACTTTTTCTCGCTTTCAAACACCTGGTTTTATACCCGGCCAGAGCTTTTTCTCGCACAGTTGGCGAGAGGCTTGCAGACTTGCTCTCTGAGAGAGAGAAAGAGGCTCTCTTGCTGGTTGCTTCTCTCACAAATGTCAACCCTGCGGGAAAATTAATAGCCCACCTTATACTATAAGAAAATTTTTTTGTTTTTTCTACATTATATTATGGTTTTACCTGTTTTGTGTTTTAGAAAAGCAGTTTTCGATCTACCACGATTTACACATAAAATACGGTATTTTAATTTGGGTAGACTTTTTCTGTTATTTAGCTCCAAATGTACTGTTTATAGTTTGTATATTTGGCTAATAATGAATCGATTTCCAAATGGTTGGACCAAAAGTAAAGTTCACCACAAAAAGCCTACTTCGATTTAAAAAGGTTATTTGTAGTCTGGAAGTTTCGATGCCATTCACCATTGGGCTTTCGGTTTTTCTGCTCTCTCCCGTTTTTTTCTCACCTCTCTCTCTCTCTTTCGCTGGCAAAATGTGTGAGCGTAAAGTTCTGTGTGGAAGCTTTTAACAAATTTTGCTGCGCAATTTAATTTTTGTTGTGTTTACAAAATGCGCGGTAAACAAAAACAATAAAAGCAATGACAACGGCAAACATGTATGTTCATATATATTTGCCCCGGCTATTTAAATTATTTTAAATGCCTTTCATAATACACACGTTTTTCCATATACATACATACATACATATGTACATACGTATGTGTGTATGTATTTAAATGCGAATGCTAGCAATTGTTCTTATATAAGGCCACGTTGTCAATAGCTCGAAGAGTGCACATTATGTTGCATCACCATCAGGTAGCGAACACATGTTGAATTTTCAAGTCATTGGCCGGCTCATTGCCGCAAATTTTCCGTTACAAATAAAGTGTCAACATAGACATAGAAAACAAAATGAATACTTGTCCTCCTCGAACAGCTGACATGTATGTGCGCACGTATGTAAGAATGAATGTTTGCATTTGTGTTAGTGTATATCTACATGCATACAAATTATCTGTGCATGTGTGTATTTAGGAATGAAGGCCTGTCTATGCGTCAGTTTGCGCTCCTCTGTCCGCCGACCCAGTTCCCCCCATTCACGATTGGTTTAAATTTAGAAAAAAGCTTTCAGTTTAATTGTTTGCCCATTTGTTTATATAAATACAATTGTTTACAAATCGAACTTGCCGGTGATAAGATTTGTTCAATCTTATCAGTGCCGAGCCAACAATGCCAGACGTGTTAGTCACCCAACATTTCGGGCTTTCTCGAACTAAGCTAAACCAAAAACAAAAAAGTTCCATGTGCTTCCCAAAATTCGAGAAACATCGCCATAGAAGATTCACGAAGCTTTTCAAGAGAAGCTTATGTGCGCTGCTCAGCGTACTAGCCTCAAGCGATGCAGTGTTGGAAAAAGCTGTGCAATGATTGTTGTCTGTGCTAAGCCTTAAGCTTGTTTTTCCTATCTGGTGCGCGTGTCTTGGCTAAAGTGTGAATAGCGCTGGATGATATATATACTTATTTAAGTATATATTTATTTATTTTCCAAAAGAAGTGAAAATGGGAATAAGTTTGCGAAAATTAGCCAACTGCCTGCTTTTGCTGGAACGCTGCGTGCTGGTCATCTTCCTCAAGCATCTCCTTTATTTGGCTGGTCAAGTGGACCATAAGGCGACTCTCGTCGTGATTAAAGAGGCTACTCTCCGTAAGACCGGCCAGTATGCAGCTGCGCATTTCCTCTGCCTCGTAGCACAAGGCGATGCGATTGTTGAAGTGCGTAGACCGTTCCGCAACGGGCAATTCGAACTGGAAGTCCCTATTCTCGAATCTCAATTCCGTGGGACACCACAGACTGTTCATCTGCAAGGATTAAGGTAAGCATTTGCTTTTCTTGTCGTTAAACCGAGCAACTTACGATCGCGCTGCCCTTGGTGCCACGTATGGTGGCCGTGTTCTGGAGATTCTGCTCGGCGCTGAGCACCAATCGAGCTCTCCGATTGCCCTTAAAGATCAGATCTATGTCGGCTGCTACATCAATGCCATCGCGATTGAGCTTTCCCAGTACCCTCAGCTGCTGCGGCACCTCTCGATAGATCCAGAGCGCCAGTTGAATGCCGTAAGGTGCCAAATCCTTGGCCACGCCTGCGTATTCCGCCGCCTTGGGCGAAGCGACGGGCAGCTGCCAACCCAATGTGCAGTCCACTGCGAAGATCCTGCCCAGCTTACAGCGCATGATCTCATGCCGCAGAATATGGTAGGCGGGTATGCAGCGCGGCCAAATACCCTCCATTAGAAACAAGCCGCGGGCCCTAGCCTTGCCAACCAGCTCCACCACCTGCTGCTCAGTCATGCCCAGCGGCTGCTCGCACAGCACGTGCTTGTCATGGTTGAGCATCAGGTGACACAGTTCACAATGCATTGCGTTCAGCGGTGATATGTAAACGGCGTCTGAAAAACTCCAAATATTTAGCTACTCTTCTCTTTCCAATAGTTAAATTTAAGAACATTTAAATTTTAAGGAACAAATCAAAACTTATTCCAAATGCTTTCTTAATAATAATAATATTAATAATAATAATAATATTGTAGAGAAAGTCCCACGTTCGCTATCCAAAAACATGCTATCCGCCAAAATTATTAAGAGATATCTGCCAATGGGCAACAAATTTTTGGATAGATCTTTAGAGGAGCTTCACAGTAAAGTCTGAAGTCCAAATATTGTGGACTTAGCTCTAAAATTGCGAAAGACACAAAGTTTGACCCAGTTGATGCTCCCATACAACTTTCCGAGCTGAAAGTATTTCCTTATTTCTTTCTAAAATAATTCATCTGTACTCACCCACATCTGGGCAACGTGCCAGATCCTCGAAGCTGGTGTAAATCTTGGGCACACGGTGCTTGTTGGCGAATGAGGTCGCCTGCGATCGATACGCGTCCATGCAGGAGGTGATGCTGTGCCGTTGGGCGGGCAGGACGCTTAGGGCTGTTGCAAAGTCTTCGGTCATGAGATTAACGGGCGCAATGCCCCAGCGTAAGGTCTGTGGCGGCTGCTTCTCGGCGCCTGTGCTCTCCATACAAAGTGGGCGTGGCTCGATGCTGTCCACACTGGGGCCATGCAACTGTCTAGCCGCCGCCGCCACGGGCAGAGCTGTGGGCGAGGGAGGAAGGTAGCCAGATTAGCGGAGGAGCGCCATATACAGCTAAAACTACGACGACGACGACGAGGAGGAGTAGGAGGAGGAGGAGGAGGAGCGTCGCGTAAAACTCATTTCATTCATACAATTGCAATTGCATGGTTTGTTTTATTTTTATATATTTTTTTTTTTTTTTCATTTTTCCACGAATTGGCGAAATTGCGGGTGTTGGTGTCTGTTGTTTGTTGTTTGTTGTTTGTTGTTTGTGGTTTGTTGTTTGTTGTTTATCCCCAACTGGTTACTGGTTGGCGCTCGCCAGGCGGCGCAGCCGGGCCGGGAGACGAGCTCGCAGTCGGACTGCCCATCTACGTCGAAACGAAGACGACGATCGCATTATGTGGCGCTGTTTAGTGCGCGCCAGTCTCAGTTCCTCCATAATTAGTCATATTTGTTTAGCATCAAAACTTGTGAATGACTGTGGATCAGCGTCACCTGCTCGACAGAGATGAGCACGTGCCAGCCCAGCCAGCACGCGATACAACATTTAAGCCAATGGGAAAAATAGCTTAACTGCCCGACTAGATTAAAAATAACATGGATTAAAGCACGTAAAGCTGAAACGAACTGATGCTACCTTTAAAAAGCTTCGTTGTAGCCGGCTTAAATCTCTATATAGCTCAAGTTAAGCTAATTTGTAGTTGAAATTGAGAATGTATGTAACAGGCAGAAGGAAGCATCTCCGATCCCATAAAGTATATATATTCTTGATCAGCATCAATAGTCGAGTTGATGTAGCCATGTCCGTCTGTCTGTCCGTCCGTCCGTCCGTCTGTCCGTGAGTCCGTCCGTATGTATGAACGCAAGGATCTCAGAACCTATAAGAGCTAGAGAAATTTTAGATGTAGGTGCTCCTAGTGCCTGCCCAGATCGAGTTTGTTTCCGATAATCGATAACTTTCCCCGTTTCCAAGTAATCGATAAAAATCGATATCGATATCCTCTTTTTTTTGGGCAATTTTGGTAAATAATAAGAGCAAGAGTCACCAAACTTGACATATAGCTTCTAAAATAGAACATATATATGCATTTGATGTTGAAAGAGGGTTCAGGGTATACTCTAGTCGGGAGCTCCCGAGTAGAACCTCTTTTGAATCTTCTTACTGCCAGGCTTTTATCTGTTGGATTTTTAGTCCAATTTTGATTGTTTCTTCTTTTACTCAAGGAACTTTTAGCTCTTTGTAGAATGCAGGCATTTACTGTGGATCGAGTTTTAGGTGACATTTGTATATATTTCTTATTGGCTAGAAGTCGTGCGTGTTTGGCTGTTGGCAGAGCCGCTGGCACGACACGAGCCCAGCTCGATTGGCTGGCTCGCATCTGGCTGGTCCTGGCCAACTAAGGCGCTGCACACGGCCATTAGGCGGCGCACTTTACGCTCCTCGCTCCATGCTCCTCGCTCCACGCTCCACGCTTTACGCTTGCAGTGCGTTCTGTCAGCGCTGGATTTTCACTTTCTTTTAGAAACTGAACGGCAGTTGTTTGTTTGTTTATTGTTTTTATTTTTTTTTTTTTTCACTTTTCAATAATTCGAATTTCGAATGCGTGCAACAATGTGGCCAGAGAGCGCCGTAGGCAGGCAGCGCACCTGAAACAAAAATTTGTTTATCTAATTAGCTATGCACCGGGGCGACAACAACATTTCACTCGGTTCGGTTTTCGCTAGCATTGGCATGCACGGCACGGCACGGCACGGCTGGTGTACAAATCGAAACTGGCCCTAACCCAAATGCAAAGCAACCGAATGAAAGTGTTCTACGCACAGCGCCCGGAAGTTGTGGGTGAAAATACCATGTTATTATGGCCAGTGAAAGGTTGCCTAATTTCTGCTCGTTAAACGTGCGCTCGGCACGGCACGGCCTGGCCAGGCCAAAGCCAAACAAATTTCTTGTGCTGCTGTGATGAGTTTTTTTTTTCCACAGCCACAAGTCCATTAAAGCCACACAGCCGCGCAGCAGCAGAAAAAAAAGAAGGAAAAACAAATTTGCATGCTGACAACATAAATCGTTTCGCAAAATATTTAACAAGTCAGCGGCAACAGTTGAAATCAATAAATTTATTGATACAATTTATACGCAGCGAGGACGGCAGCATGCAACACGCAACACTACGCTAATTAGAGGGGCAGCCCCCCTGCCCCACTCCTCCGCCCCCTGGGCAGGAGGTTGTAACAAAACTAAGCAAGTGCTCGACTTGGCTGCATGCATCAATTTCTCATGCAAAGCAAAGCCGACAAAAGATAGGGGGGGAGATGCGGTAGGATGGGGGAGGGGTGGTGCTATAGTTAGCGGGAGGCAGTAGATGCTCATTTTTTGTGGGCGTGGCCAACTCATATTTACACTTACAGCTTGCATTCTTTTGTGAAAGTCATGGCTTGTCAAGTTCGTTGCCTAAGTCTTTTGTTTTTTTTTTTTTTTTTTTTTTTTTGCTTTCTCTGGCTGCAATTTTTGTGACATTTTTGCAACATTTCGCTTTAATTAACACATCAAGCTAATGAGCTGCCCCAAAAAGAGGGGAGCTGCCAACAATATTGAATGATTGTTTTTCTTATATTTTATCCGTGATTTGTTGCTGTTGCTGTTGTTGTTGTTGTCGTCAGCGTAAGCGCTTTTAATGGCTTTACAAGTTTTATGCTTGTCTCAAGCCTCGACGTCTACAAAACTCTTTGCATTTGCAAGGCACACACCCAAACAACAACAACAACAACGAGAGATCGACAATAGTCATAGCCCTGGCATTGGACTGTCACAGTTGTTGTTGCTGCTGCTGCTGCTGCTGCTGCTGTTATTTGCCTTAAGCTTTTAACATATTTTTCAATTACAGCGCCAAAAAAAAAAAACTGTTTATTCAGTCAAATGCCAAAGATTGCTTTTTATGCAACACACACAAGACATGCCAATTGTTATTATTGTGCTTGTCCGTGCAACAAAAGCGAAAGCTGATCAGACATCGACCGCCCAGCTGGCAGAAGAAGAAGCAACAACAGCAACAACAACAGCAACAACAACAACAACAACAACAACAACAAACTTCTTGCCATGAGAGTTAAATAAGTTGCGAATGTTTAATAACTTTTAGCCCAAAATTGAGAGGTATGTGGCTTCAGAGTATCCTTAAAATATGCATAAATATTTATATTTTATCTGTATTTCGAGAATTGATAAGAAAAGTATAATAAAGCCTAATTTAAGATAGCTCCCTGCATTCAAATAATTGGTTAAGCATATCAGCCTATCATTCAATTTATCATTCAGCTTATCAGCTATCAGTTAGCTTATCAGTTAGCCTAGCAGCTAGCTTATTAGAAAATTGATCGGCTAGTAACTTTGCTGACTTTGTCAGTTAGTTCATATTCGGGAAACTGTCATCTGACAAGAAATCTAATAGCTGCAGAGTCTTACAAGTTGAGAAACAAACAGATCATCTCTCTCTACGATTCTCTTTCGTTATTAATTTCACCTATTTTCATCTAACTTTATTCTATTTCAATTTAAATGGTTCTTTATCTCTTCTGTGAATATCTAGCCCATCAATTAGGCGATTTTATCGGAATTTGATTCTGTTTGGACTTGTAGACCTTTTTTTTTAAATTTAATTAAAACATTTTGTAAAGTAAGTTGAGATATTTTTGAGTCTGAGCTACTTGAACATCTTCTTCTTGATAGACTCTTAAAATGTTGCACCTGCTTCACTGATTAGCATGAGAATACAATTAAGCTTACTTTGTTATCATATTAAGCGTAAAATTGTCTCCGGCTTGTTGTATTTGATAATCCGCAAGTAGACAACTTCATGGTCAGTCCATGCACTCAGTCAGTCAGTCAGTTAGTCAGTCAGTTAGTCAGTTAGTCAGTTAGTCAGCAAGATGTTGCAGTGAAAAGTGAGTCTGTTTGCATGAGAAGGAGATGTGGAAGGAGCGAAGCAACTAACCAAAGCCAAAGACAGCAACAAATGCGAAAAGACGACAACTTTGGCGTCTGCTGAAGACTTCGACGTCGACGTCGACGTTGCCGGCAAGCAGCGACGCATTTATATTGATTCGTTTTGGTCAGCAGGCAGCGGCAGAGGCAAAGGCAGCGGCAGAGGCAGCGTCGGCGACAAGTGCAGCTGGCAATTGCAAAGTAAACGCCGCTCGGCTTGTCGTCTGCAGCTTGAGGTGAGGGGTGGCAGGGAGGTAGGTGTCGTGGGGGGGGGGGTCTGGTGTCTGAGTCTCGGTCTCGGCCGCTTGTCTGGTTCGTTGTACTGCGGCAGCGACGCTGACTGCGCCGCACTGCGCTGCGCACACAGACGCTTCTTGGGCAGTTTCGAATTTGAGTTTTGGCGCACACAACGCGAAATCAGTTAACAAACGGACGCGTTTTGAAACGGATGCGCCGCAGCTACTACGCAGATCTTAAGCGAAGCGAGTTTCCTGCTCCTCGAAACGGTGCGAATGACTCTTCGGTCCCGGGCCCAAAAGTGTGTGTCTGTGTGTGTGTCTGGCTTAAAAGTGAAATTTACTGAATGAAATGAAATGAAATGTTTGCCAGCCCCAAGCAATTGCCAACCGAATTGGGAATGGGTATGGGATAGCGTTAAAGCCAAAGTTTGATCATTCGCTTGTGACTATATCAGCCAGTCAAGGAAATGACTGCACATTTTTTAAACGTCAAGTGTTAAATCCAAAACCAAAAGAGAAGGATTATACCATCAAGTAGGCTCTATAGATCTACAGCCAGTCAATTGTGTTTGTGTTCATTTACCAGCGACCGCATTGTATGGTAGGTATTCAATTACAAGCTTACATATATCTTCTGGCATAGATTAGTTAAATCGAAAATAAGCTCTATGCATATGACGATTCAAAACTTATCAAGGTTTATAAAGCATGTTATGCTAAATAGAATATGACTGATATTACTTTTCTTTAATATTGAAGGAAAGCAGTTCTTCAATTAAAATAATAAAAAACAAAGAATCAGAGCTGAAAAGGCAACATTTCTAGAAGCTTACGAATAAATAGTGTTGGTTAACATTTCGAATAGATCCGATGAGATGCAACTTTTGATTTCTTATTAATAGAAGTTATTGTTTCTTGGATCTGTTTGTTTTTCATAGATGTCCCATCGAGGTCCGACTAATCTATACTGATTAAAAAGTTAAAAGGAATCGATATACGAGAAAGAAAGTTACTGAAATTTGGCTCTGCCCTATTTGATAATTTTGTTATGTTTCCATGGTACGAATTTGCTTCACTTATTATTTATATTTATTATAATTTTAAAAATAAATAAATTATAAATATATTTTACAATGCCGAAATGGGCAATAACAAGATAAAGCAGCTAAACCACAGAATTGGGCCTTGCTTCCACAAGCTGTTATCGATAATTAGTTCTATCGATTGTGTTCGATATGCTGCCAAGCGCGCGAACAACTATCGGTTCTCTTGTGTTGACTTTTGAGCGAACTCTCAGTTTTAGCGACGGATGTGGCGCTTGCAGCGAAATCGAATGCGCAAAGAATTAAGACGCTGCAGCAGCTGCGTCGATTGCAACAATTATAACGACAACAACAAGAAGAAGAAGAAGAAAAGCACATCACTAATACGCAGCGTGGACAGCGCCAAGCGCCAAATGTTCGCGTTGAAGTTGAAGGAAAAGGAGACAATGACAAACACTTGCAACTGTCGATTTTTGCGTCTGTGTGTGCGCGTGTGTCTGTGTGTGTATTTATCTTTCACTTAAAGCGAAGATGACATTCTTTAAATGAAATTAACTGCTAGCAGCAAAAACAACAGCAACTGCTGCTGCTACTACTGCTGCTGCTACTGCTGCTGCTGCTGCTGCTTTGGCTGCAATTAGTATTTGTCTTTGCTAATACGCTGCCATGTTGGTATGTATTCCCAGTTTTGTTATTGTTGTAGTTGTTGTTGACCAGTTGCTGTTGTTGTTGTGGTCGCTTTTTATGTCACGCATAAAAAGTGTCGCACACTTGAATGAATCTTTTGGCTATGCTCTTGCTTGTCACTTAGTCGTCGTCGTCGTCGTCGTCGTTGTGGCTGTGGCTGTTGTTGCTGCGCTTGTTTGTATGTTTATTGGTCTGTTTGTTTGTTTGTTTGCTTGTTGTTCAAGCATTTACAGCCGGCTCATTGGCTTAAGCGTTCACTTAACAGCAGCAGCCGTCACTTTGCATGCAACCCGCGGATTCGATTTGCTTTTTGGGTTGGGCCATTGATTGTCGCCTGGCTCCGTTGCGCTCAAAGATGAAGTTGCAGATAGTTTGAAGTATCGAAAGTACATTAAACACATATGAAAACATGGCCCATACCCAACACTGGCCAGCAAATAACCCACACGACGCTGCCACATGCATATTTAAGTCGATGTACCACACTGATAAGTCACTTTTGCAACCGATTCACGAAAATGGCATACGCTATATTTTCACTGAGTAAAAAGCTAACTCTACTTGCACAGATTACTAAACATGTTTATTAATAATCGCTTTAAAATGCCTCGTCCCAAAATGCCTAGTTTAGGGTTCAGATAACACGTCGAGACTTGAAATCGAGCTTGTATATATATAGTATTCCACAGTTAGTTTATATTATAATATCTCATCCACACTGAGACAAAATAGTTTTGGCTAAATCTCTATGCAATGCAAATTTGGTTATTTTAGCTCTAAAGCTGAGCAAAATTTCGAAAGGCGTAACCACATATTCCCAATACTCTTTTCGGACGAGGGTATATAGGATTATGTCCCTGACAGCTCCAATCTAGTTCAGCTTCTATTTAATATCTATGCATAATTTCTTGCAATATCTCACAGATAATATTAAGCATTTTGTGCATTGCCATGGGGTGAAGAGTTCAATATTGGTGTCTTCTATTTAACTTGGTCTTAACTTGGTCTTAACTTGGTCTAAAAAATAGATATACATGTTAGATCATCGACGGCGACAACAGCAGCTGGCAGACTCGAGAGCCGCTTCCTGCAGTTCGTGCTGGCTTTTAAAACAAACTCGTTTAACGGCCAACTCGCAGCGCATTCATGTAAATATATAATAAAAGTCAATTAAATAACACAAAAGTTATGCATAATTAAATGTATTATGCAAAACAAATTGCAAGCCCGGTTAAATAACACAAGAAGTCTGAAGACTGCCTATTACTCCAATTAGGCTTTTTACTGCCGCACTAGACTAGGCCCAATTGAAGTATTACACGCGAGTGCTACCCGGCTTTGCACGGGCCAGTTTTTCACTACAAACTCCATATAACATACGATTTTCTCAGTTGGAGGAGTGAAAATGGCAATAGTTCATGTTTAGTTTATGTAGAAAATGCCTTGTTACCATTTCTCCCAACTATTCTTGCATAAGGTATCTAGAGTAAAGCCTTTTGCTTTCCTGTTCTTCCCAGCTAATCTTTCTTATACAGATGGGACATTATACCGAAGGAGTTTAGACAATGCAAATAATAGAAATACTCGAAAAGAACTCGAAGCTCAAAGCTGTCAAGAATTGTATTCTCGACTTATGAATTATCTTAAGCCAGGTCTACTTTAGCTGAATCATCTCTTATTCTTCCTTCTAAGCTTGACATTTCCATAGATGCTTTTCTGTTTATTATATAAAAAGTGTTTGTTTAAAAATTCTATATGCGTTTTTTTGTGCTCAATACTCAGTGTTTTTATTTTTATTTAGATAAATGTGACATCTACTTTAGGGTCTTAAATAATTCTCAGAGAGCTGCGAAAAGTCTGTAATACAGCTTTTTACCCCACTTTTTTATTTGGCATAAACATAAAAGTAATTAGCGTCAATTCTGTGCATGCTACGCCCCCAAAATAATAATCAGCCATAGTTTTTTTTTTTTTTTGCAAAGCCGTCGGTGAATTTTATTTGATTTTAATTGCCGGCCGTGCTGAGATGTTTGGCATTTAATGGCTTTATTTATGCGTGTAGTAATCAAGTTAATTTTTACGATTGCCGCCGTGCAGCAACAACAACAACAACAGCAACAACAACAACAACAACTACGACAACAACAACAACCTGTGGAGCTGCAAAATATATGCAAATTTTTTCTTTAATGTTTCAAAATCGAAACACTGTGCAAAAGTTTCACTTTCGTTGGGAACGCGTCCGATGGCGCAGCGCAACGAGATCGTTGAGAGCTGAGCGCAACCCTAAGGACATGTCCCAAAAAAAGCTATCGTTGAGTCCATTTAAGGTACCCTTAAAAATGAAAAAAAATAAAATGCACGAAAAGCGCCAAAGCTGATGCCTCATGCGATATGCATTTTAATAAAGTTGTCAGTTATGAGTTGCTCGACCCTCTTTCTCTCGGTAGACACATCTCTGACGCATTGCTACATCTTTTAATCAAAACCTGACACAATTACGAGACAGAGGGCACAAGTCAGAAGTGCCCGACTGAGCCCAGGTCCAATCATTCTAGCTTCCTTCCAAAGACCCAAATACCCATTAAAAAAGGGGTATTCATTAGTGGAACACTCCTGGAACACATTGAAGATGCCTAATAATAATGAATTATCTTATTGGGATTACTTTTTAAGCAACAAAATATTGTGAAGCAAATGAAAAATCAATAACCTAGAGAAACCCTAATACAGCTGCAGGATAATCAAGATTTCCAGTTCGAGAGTTGATTTGTGAATTGTGTGTCAAGTTATTAGACTAATGATAACACTAATGATGACTAATATATTGGGAGAGTAGACATCATAATTTGAACCCCACAAGACAAAAAAAACCTATGTTTTTTTATGAATAAAAAAATTAAATGTAATCTTAAGAACATTTAAGATAGTCCGAGTTTTCGCTTTCGAAATGATTGGCAAGTTTGTTGTCTAAGTCATTTGTTTATTCTCATCTTCAGTTTGCACTTCATAAATTTTTCATAGCTTGTTGAACAATTGTGATGAAATACTTTTTAAGCACAGTATCACATAACATATATGGATAATGTCAAACTAGATATAACCAATTTTAATGACCGCAAAGCAAGTTTGTTGCCTGAGTCTTTGGCTTGTAATCGAACGATTGAATCATAACAAAACATAATTTGCATTTACATTTGCAGATAACCCGCGCCGTTCCATGATGATTAGCGAACGCCACAAAACCCTCAATTTGGTAACAATATTTTCTTGCTGGCTTTACCTGTTCGCCGCATGCCCCGCCACCTGTGCGGCCGACGAGGTGTTTGAGCTCTTGCCACAATCGGCGGCAGCAACGGCAAAGAGTGGCAGCCGGCAACAGGATGAAGTGAATGTCTTGGCGTTTGTAACGCCCAATGCGACAACAGGTGAGCGCGCGAATATGGGCGAGGGGTGCGGGATGCGGGGTGCGGGGTGGTCTGCTGAAGAGCTGGCAATGAACCGCATGAAATGCCGCATGCCGCAAATATGAAAGATTTGCACTTTGATTTTGTTTTAACAGCCAAATGCCGACATAATTGACACGGCCGCAAGATCGCGAGACGAGACGCAATCACCCCACCTGTCCAGCTAGCTCTATGCTCTGGTTAGGCTGCCTCGCGTGCGCGGAGGATCAGGGGCTGACGGCTGGCCATTGGCTATTTTAATGGCCAGCATTAGGAGATCGAAACAATTTTAACGCAATCATGCGCGGTATTTTAATGTGGTGCAGCAAATGAAAGTGAAAACGACTTGAATTGTGCGGCAATTATGCAAGGATAAATGGGCTGGCTGGCTGGATGCCAGGCCAAAAACATATTTCCAGCTGCGCTTCGAGAGCGTAGGCAGAGTCCCGCCCAGCGGCATTTAATCTTTGCCAATTTATACGCGTCCAGCTTCCAGCTCAAAAGCAATTGAGCCAAACAAATCGAAAATTGCCAGCGCATGGCCAGGAGATAGATCTAAATGCACGAGTCTCACATTTCCGCCAAGTGCAGGTCCTCACCTTGATCGACGTCGCATTCAAATGGAAAGCGATTTGTCTGGTTTTGGCTAATAACTTATGCGACTACCTCCACGACGTAGTTGCCGAGTTCCCAGACGCTGGCTTGGACTCAGTCGCCGTCATCACTGCCGCCCCTTGATCAGTCAATCAGGCGACGCCACGTTGTTTGTTTGTGGCTCGCTTGATTGCCCGGCTGGGGCTGATGGCCTCCAGTGATCTGGCTGTGATCTTCCAGGTGGTTGCAAAGTTATGTCTGCCAGCCTGCGGCCAGCAGCTTGAACTCTGTGTGACCTCGGCTTTATTGCATGGCCTGGCATTAACAATAGCCCACACTTTGCATGGATTTCAGGCTATCTGCAGAGCAAGGATGGCATTGGATCAAGGGGTCGGCCATCTAACCTAATGCTATTCCGCATCTGCATCTGAAATGCTAGAAATCAAAACTTAAGACCAGGCTGCACATCATATTCAAATATATATATTATATATCATTTTAAAAGCAACAATTGCCCATCGGAATGCACATAGTTTTTCTCAAGTGCTTAATATTGATTGGGATTTTTTATATACTCAATGTTTTATCTCAGAGTTTTCTCTAAAGTTACCCAAGCCCAATTTCAATTTGGGGCATCAAGGGAAGTAATCCATTAAATCTGATGAACTTCTGCCTTCATTTCAGCACCACGACTGGATCCCAATAACAACAACGAGTGGCGACCTTTGGGCCACGGGGATCCGCTGCAAAAGGATCCCACCTATGATTACAGTCCACCCGCGCTGGATCGTGTGCGCTACTGGGCGGAGAACAATGCGAGCAGCCAGGATGCCAGACAGAAGCTGTCGGCGGAGTTGCTGCGCAACAAAACCAAAAGTGAAATCCTATTGCTGGGCGTGCCCGGCGAGCGGGAGCGCTCGCGACCGAAGCAGCCGCAGGCCAAATATGCGCCCATTCGCAGAAGCTACTATGCTCCTCCCCAGCAGCAGCAGCAGCAGGTGCAGCACATGCCGCACACACACCTGATGCCGCCGCCAATGCTGATGAAGGGCATGGCTCACGTGGAGTATCGTCACAATGTCATGAACTCACCGAGCAGCTCGTCCTACATGAGCTACAGCTCCAGCAAACCGTCCAGCTCCACGCATTACTACAGCAGTCCGTCGGCCGCGACCACGTCCTGGTACAGCCACTCGCCCAGCATGTCCAGCATGTCCAGCATGTCGAGCATGCCTCAGCGCATGAGCTATATGGATGCACATCACCAGGAGTCCATGCAGCACTATAGCCTCTCCAGGCCGCAGGCCGTGAGCTATGCGCCCAACTCGATTCATCCCGCCCGCAAACCCTGGCTGCACGAGCTGCTGCAGAAGGAGCTGGTGGTGAAGCCCACCATGAAGCAGCGAATGAAGCCCACCATGCCGGCCACCAAGTATCTGATGGGTACCACCAGGCCGCAGCTGCCGGCCACCGGCCCCACCCACGCGCCTTTGAACTATGCGCCGGTGACCTTTGTGCCCGGTCCGCCCACTGTGGCCACGCCTACAACCAGCAGCACTCACCCCGAGCTCTATATCACGCCAACCACGCTGATGTCCACGGGCAGCTCCGGCTTTCGACCCATGCTTGGGTCGACAACGACGTCTACTACGACAGCCGCGCCCATCTATCAGCATGCAGAGGCAACGTCAACGACGAGCAGCTCCCGGCTGATGATACCGCAGATGAGCAACCTGGCGCAACGACCCACAGTGGCACCTGCCCCGGAACTAACCACCGATGCGCTCTTCTCGCACTATAAACAGCCGCCGAAGCCGCTGCTGGGACCGATGTACCTCATCATTGAGGGCCATTCCAAGGTCAAGACCTATGGCCAGAACGAGCTGGATCCGCACAGTCCCAAGATTGTGCCCGTCATCTCGAAGCGGGAGCCGGTGGTGCGCATTGCGGATCCCAACGAGAAACGCGGCACCGTCGAGACCTACCAGGTCAAGCATTTGCATACCAAGACGACGCCTCTGACGACAACAACCTCCACTACGACGACGACGACGACGACGACGACGACAGCGAGACCAAGCACCGAGAGTAGTTCGGTGAGTCCCAGTCCCACCGAGATGCCGGTGCCCGGTGGCGGCGTGCATGATCTGCTCAGCTTGCTGGACAACATGTTTGCCGAAGCGCACGATATGGCAGCAACGACAACGGGCAGCTCCTCCCTGGCCACGCCCGCGGCGAGCAGCGGGAGCACCGTCTTAAAACCGGTGACAACAACGAAAGCAAAGCTGCAGCCACAGCTGCCGGAGCCGCGCATTGGCAGCCAATCGGGCAGCATCGAGAGCCAGCTGGAGGCGGAGGTCGCAAAGGGTTCACAGCTCGCGACCAGCACGGAACCCGAACAGCCGCCGCGCGCCACCCGCCAGATCTTTGACTATGATCAATTGCCCGAGTCGCGCATTAAGGCCGAGGACCCGGACGAGCTTGACTACGAAGCCGATTATGACGACGACGCTGATGATGCGAATGATGATGATAATGACAATCTGGAAGATGTGAGTGAAGATGAGACGTCAGAAAGTGAACATAATTTACTCAAACGCATCGATAAATTTGTCGATGATGTGGATGATGGAGACGATGATTTGGACGGTTTGATGGAGGATCTGTCGCCTGGCAATGACAATAATGACAATGATGCTGACGATGATGATGATGCTGACGATGATGATGATGATGATGATGATGACAGACAGAAGCCGCAGCAGCACCGTTTACATCAATAATAATATTTCTCTTAAAACTGCGCTCTATACCAAAATCTATCAGAAATTTTTCTTACACCTAAAATATTTAAATGTAAATAACTAAGCTTTAAAGGAGTTGATCGTTGGCCGTTAGTTTTTAAAATTGCAATTATCGCATATTTCTTGTTTTTTAGTTATTAAGTGTGCAATAATTGACAATAAAAATATAATTTATGTAAGTGGTTCATGCCATTGCTAGCTTAGAAAGCAGTTGGCAGCAACGCTCAGCGAATACATCAACCTGTTCGAAGCAACAAAAGTTGCTTTAGCAAAGACTCAGACCGCACACAGATCGAAAGTATTGCTTACAATCTACTCTTCTACAGTGCTGTACTCTCTTTAGTTTTTGCAACTGCAAAATATCAAGCCAACTGGATATTGTTGCGTGCTCACTGCGTTGGCTCTCTTTCACTATCGCACGGCTTGTACCCGCTGTACGTGCCCACATGTATGTAGATTGCCGCTCTGCAGTTTTGCTTTGTTTATTTCTGTTTCGGTTTTCCAAGCAGCAGTTGAGAATTTGACGTCGAAGCGAACGGTAAAACAGACCGCTTCCAACGTTCTCTGGAAGAAGCTCCATGCGCGTCGTGGGTGACAAATATCAACAACAACAACACAACAACACAGCTAAATTGTACGTCAAGTGCTTAAATTAACTTGAGAGTGTAAATTCCAGTCAAATTAGATGTACTAAAATTTGTGAGTGCAAATCATCGCATTTAGGCGATGATTTTGTGCGTTTTATTCATTTGCTATTTACAAAGCAAAACTGACCGCTTAAAACGGTCTTTGGCATTTTATTTTGTTTTTGACTTCGCTTTCGCTTTTGTTTGCATATAAAAAAGAGCGAGCAAGAGAGAGATAAACAAGAAAGCAAAGTTGAAAGACCCAAGCATTGAAGTGTTAAGTGTTGCAGTTTTCTCTCCTCTCTCTCTCGCTCTCTTTCCAATCGAAACACAATTAACTATAGCAGCTACAAAAATCATCCAAAACACGTGTAACATATGTCACTGTTAATGTGACAAAAAAAAAAAATAACAACTATGCAACTCACCCGCACATTTGGACTTTGAAAGTGTGACTAAAAGTGTCGGCGCCGCATAAAATTCTGATCAGACTCTGTACGTATACAAATGTATGCGTGCGTGCTTGAATAACCTTGATTTGTCTGCTAGCGTCTTGTTAAAGAGCCATATTAAACATACGAAATAAAACGTTTTTTTTGTTGCTGGCTGTTAGCTGTTCGTCTCGTCAAGCAACAGCAACAACAAAATAAAACCAAGCAAACTTCTAAGCCAAAAGACAACAAACAGGTTCGGCGATCGGGCGTGCAAAAACACAAAGAGAGCACAGATAACGAGTGAAAGAGAGGATTGCGAACAGCAAAAAGGGCATAATGCATAAAATGTTCCTTTGCTGCCCATAGCAAGACCAACTAGAAAACGTCATATTGGACTATGTAAAAAACGCTGATATGCTTGTTACGAGAGTTTATCAGCCAAATGTCAGACATTGCTGATAGCGCTTCGGTGCGAGCAGACAGCAGCCGCCGGTTGATAAGCCGTCAAATTCATGTACATATATTTTTCGAGTGCGACGCTTAGCATCCGTTAACAGTGTAAGAATGTAAAAAGTGCGTCATAGTCGTTCGTCAGAGCGCCCACGCATGTGTACATATGTATGTCTAACTAGATTTCCCACAAATGTGTCCAACTTGAATTCCGGCAATTGCTAACGGAACTGAGGAAATGTAAAGCAATTCACGCTTATCGCTGCATCTCACTTGCCTAGGCAGCAAAATTGACCTGCATTACTGACCTACTTTACCTGTGTTGCTCAGTTCTCGCCGAAAGACCGATTCGGCGACCGGTTTACGAATGTAATTAGCTGGCCATGTGTTTCGTTTAATTGCTTGTAAACACAGAAAAAAATAAATAAGTGCCTCATTCAATGCACTTTAATCAATATTCAACAATTACGTAATATGAGCATATACATATTTCCAATTGCAGGCCCCATGCCCTTAACAGGCACCGCTTATTGGACTGTATAAGACTACTGATACAAGATATCAAAATGTCAATGCCCGCTTTATATTATAAGTAAATATGAGCATAATGTTAAGCCAAACCGCAGCAGGCAGCACGCAGCACGCATACAAATACATATACACTCATACATATGTACACACATACATACGCATGTTAGTTGTAACTGCACATGTGCTGCTGCCCGTACAATTACAACGCAGTCTCATTTTTCTCTTCTTGTTTCTGATGAGCCATGAAGCCGACTTAATGAAGTCGCGTCACGATGACTCGACTTAATACACACATACAAACACGCACGCAACGCACGTCGAGCACATGAATAGGAATTGCATTTAGTATATGTATGTATGTATGTACATATATAAGACCAGTTCAATGGTTTCCTATCAGATAAAGTCACAGAGCGTTTTATCTGATGTAGGAGGAACGTGTGAAAAGCTGCGATATTAGGCGACGCTCCTTATCATTGTTTACGTACTATAAATTTAAATATTCAAAAGTATTTTTATTCAATTAAAATTTGTTTTATACTTATTTTTGGTCTACAAATGACGTAGAACATTGTTACTCAAGCACTTAATTCCTGTGATAACCCAACCGAACTGTGATTCAATGCTAGATTTCTTTAAAAATAAACCAGATCATGAATATATATATATATATATATTCTCAATAATTGTTTAAACAAATTTCTAATCAAATCCTGCTTGGAGAAGGCGTCATAAATAATAAACAAGTTACGTGAATGCGGACGCATTTCGTATCAAAACTAAAATATAATTTTAAATACCAACAGAATGCTTAGTATACAACTTTAGCATAGTCGTGGATATGTGTGTGTGTGTGTGTGTGTGTGTGTGTGAATGTATAAGAAAAAGTGCCGGCAATCAGTTGGAATTCATTTAAGTGCATTAGATTAATGCTTAAAACCAGCTGCCACAGACTCATCCAATTTAAAAGAATGTCCAAAATTGGTTTGTTTGCCTGAATTTCTGTGAATTGCAAAAATCAACAACAAAACAATTTAAATGCAGCTTTAAAAGCAGCTGAAGTTTAATTTAAATCCAATTGGATTTTAGCTTAAAGGACGACAACTCTTGGAAACGGCCAATTAGGCCAATTCAAATAAGAAACTAAGCTGCTGAAAATATGCCTAAAAAGCTTTTGAGTAAATTAGACATTTAAATGTAAAAGCTTTGCTGAGAAAAAGTGTTTTCTTTTCATGATTAATCCAATCAAAAGTTGCTGAAAGCTCCAGAGATCTGGGATTCGAATTCAAGAACATTTTAATTGAGCTTTAAAAAAGCAACAAATAAAACTGAAAAGCGCTTGAAATAAAAGCTCATTTCTTGCTCCGAAACTGTTCTGCCAGATTAATCCATGGCTTTCACTTTCAGGCCATGTCATTGCGCATTAGTTGCCAGGCATTGGAAGTTGTTTGCTCAATTAGAATTTGCAATGCAAATTGTGTGATCACCTTGCGTGTTAAACTATGTACTGTACCTAATCTCGGCCATCGCGTAATTCTAGAAACTCAGGCAAACGCTTATCACAGTTCAGCTTGAAAGCCAGTTAACAGCTGTCCCCCTCTCTCCCTCTCTCCCTCTCTTTCAACCCAGTTGAACTTTGACTATGGCGAAGCAGTTGTTGTTTTATTGTGATTAGTAAAGTGCCTAAAACTCTGGATCTCAAGTAAAACAACTGTGAAATGAATTTCGAAAACAAAAGTTTCGATAGTTCGAAACTCTTCTAGAGGCCCTTGATAATGCCTGCTTTAATGGCAGCTTGCCCCGTTGAGTGCGAATTTTTTTTACAAGGAATGTTTAAAGCAAATCGCCAATTCTTCTTATCAATAATTATTGCATTTTTAGTGCCGAAAAAAATGTGCGCGATAAGATTTGATAAAAAATAAAGAAAAAAAAAAAAAATAGGGCATTTTAAAATGGAATCTAATCGAAGTTTTTCCTAACAAACAGCCGGGCAGCAAGCAGCGAAGCAGAGCGCCATGACCGCGACTAAAGATCCCAAGGAGCAGGGCCCAACAACAGCGACGGGCCAGAAGAATGGCTCAGCCGGCGGTTTGATGAAGCGTCTGCGACGCTCCGCCTCGGTGACGGAGCACAATCTGAGCAGTCTGCGGGATCGCAAGTCCACGCAGAATCTCTTCGATCAGCACGGCAATCCGATTGATCTGCGGCAGTATCGCAAGGTGCTGGACAAGGACGAGAACGGCAATGGCACCAGCGAAAAGAAGCTACGCTATAGACGCACCCAAAGCGTAACACGCGCCGAGGAGATAACCAACAAGGAGGCCAAACAGCGCAAGGCACAGCCCGACAAGCCGTAAGTGGACAGGTTTATGGGGCATCCTTATTGGGACAACTATCTAAGTATCTTGTTGTAGCATACATCGTCCCCGCGACTCGCTCTTCTCATGGAGCTCGGGCTTCACCAATTTCACGGGCCTGGTCAACTGGGGTTTCCTGCTGCTCTGCATAGGCGGACTGCGCCTGGGCTTGGAGAATTTGCTCAAGTGAGTGCCAATTGACAGGTGTACAAGCAGCAAGGTGGGCTCTACTAATTGCTTGTGAATACTTTGCAGATACGGCGTACGCATCAATCCCATTGACTGGTATTTCTTTGTGAGCGGTCGCAACGAGGGCGAAGGTCACAATGCCCTGCTCCTAATCATCTGTAGGTGTGCCTGGGAACCCCAGACGAACTACATTTAAAACCCAATTCATTTCTTTACAGACTCTTTGGTTCACATATCCCTGTGTCTGGCTGTCGAAAAAGGCTTGGCCCTGGTAAGTAGACTCGCCTCAGGCTTTACTCACTTTGTAGATTCCTTCTGCCCAGCTGTGCCAAAGGGCGTTCGAATAGGCTCATTATTAACCTCCTCATCTTGCTTCGGCGCGTTTTTCAAGGGTCGATGCCAAAAGTTCCTATTTCTAATTTGGTTGTTTCAACAAAAAAAATTGGAACCCTTTTCGACAGCTGACTCGCAGCAGAGCGGATATAATCTTAACCTACTCCGAAAGTCCCAGTAGAGAGTTCTCTCCTCATTTACAGATAACGCATATAAATATAGATAAATTAGAGCAAGCATCTATCTATCTATGCGAAATGTATCCCAACAATAAGAGCGATAGAAGTTAATGCATTTCTTAAATGTGTTTAATACACGGTTCGATCCTAGTCCCATTCTTTAGGCTCGTGACCCTGGTTTTTATGTTAAATGGGACCAGTTTTTTGTTTGACTAGGAGATTTCCCGAACCACGTAGGAGGAGCTTGTTGACTCGAAGATATATTTTGTAGAAGAAACCTTTGAACTTCGGATCGTTGTAGTATTTCTGCTCAAGCAATTGCGAAATTTAAGCTCAAATAACTTTCACTTCTGGCGGAAGAGTTAATACAGTTAGTTTCCTTGCTTGCGGGGCGCCCCATCAAAGTTGTTCTTGTACGTTTCAAACATAACTATATATTGATTACAATATTACAATTGTTACACTTATAAACAAATCTTGTATGACAATTAATAATTCGTGCTTTGTGTGTGTATGAGTAATGTATGGTGTGTGCAACTGATGTGTGTCATGTGTAAACTTAGGCAATGCGTACGCCCGCCTGATCGCAATATTTCTGCAGCATTTGCTTGTATTCGGCTTCAAGCGGTGCAAGCAAAGTGGTCAGTTCTCCGGGTGGACGTCTTTGCGACAAACTGGACAACGAGCTGGCCAAGTATTGGCGGGCATCATTTACTTCGGCTAGGTGATCCACCTGCTTGGGTTGAGCAAATGTGAGCTGAGAGAAAGCTGCCTGATAGCCCGGTTCGGCATCTACAACAATATCTGTCTCAGCGGCAGCTGCATCTCCGTCCAAGTAGGGCAGCTTCTCTGGTGGCCGTTCGAACAGATCAATTAGTGCGTGAAGTAAACGCGGCCAGTACGCCGCGTATTGACCGGACACTAATTCGGGGCATTCGGTGAGCAGTTTGCTAACGCCCACAGCGACCAATTTACGCTCCAGCTCCTTGCTGACCTTGGCCATATCCGTGATAAAGACGCGTTCCAGCAGCATGCCGAACATACCCGGCTGAATATCCTCGATAAGTCGCACCAGAGCACTACCTCCAATTTTGACCACGTAGAAGCTGAAAAACACAATGATGCCATTCAAATATTTGGCGGTCTTTGACAGCGACAGGCGCTGAAATAGTAAGCCAAAGATTTGACGCATGCTTGACTGCAACTCGTCGGCGTTATAATAGAGCAATAGATTTTGTAACAGATAAAAGCCCTCGTGATCATTTGCCTTGGATGCGATCATTTTTTGAAATATGCCCAGAATGCCATTCTAAAAAATACAGATAATTTAATCTTGTGATTCATTTGTGCTTCTGCACACTGTTTACCAATTTGCCAAGCGCTTGAATCTGTGCGGAGCCTTGTTTAATGAAGATCGACAGCAGGCGTATCAATGGCGTCACATTGCCCCGGCGATCCCACAGAGGCGGCGCCAGCAGGCAGGGGAACAGTGCCCAATAGGGTTCCGGTATGGGTCCAGTGTTCTCGCGCACCTCGAGCAGCACCGATAGCATTTGAAATACATAAGGCATAAACTCGGTGATGTCCTGTTGCAAGATGCCCTGGAATACGGGGAATAGCGCTTCCTCAAACGAACTGACCGCTGAGGCATCTGCCTGGCAAACGATTCTAGATAGGACGCAAAGGTTAATTCCCTTCCAGATACTTTTAAGAACTGTGGCAAACTTACTTAATGGAAAGCGACAACGTTTCGAAAAGGTAGTGATTAAAAAGCGGGCGAGACGGATTCTTGGCGACAAATGTGAGAATTTCAGTGAGGCGCGGCAGAGCCACAGCCATATAGGGCATTGCGCCCGCCTGCAGCACATGGAAGCTCCGCATGATGGCTAAGCAATAAAATAATCAGATTATTAAATGGACTTATTCATTCATTTGTGACTCTAAACTCACCTTTCATGACATACTCATTCTCCGCCGAACCAGTCAGCGCAAGCGTTGCAAACAGTCCGCTAACCAGTTGATTCGAGTGCGGAGCAATTACTTGTGGCCCGAACAAAAGCGCATTGCTCCCATCACGCATGGTCATTATCTTCTCCAGCGAGCAAGCAGCATAGCTGTGCACCACAATGCTCTCCGCGGGCAGATGCCGTATGAGATGCGGCAAACAGGCAGCCAGCGTTTGTGGTCCCAACAGACTACGAAAGACCATTACATATTTAATGGCAGCTGCTTTGAGCACTGGAAGCTCATTAACTGTGCACGAAAAAGTGTCGTAGGATAAAGTTAATAAATAGGTTAGGAACCGAACATTAAAAGGATATCATTAAAGTAAAATTACCATTGGGTCGCTCCAGTTCGGGCACAATGTGCTCGGCGCAGAACTGTGGCAACGGCACCAGTTCCGAGCTTTGTGTAATGCCATGTTTTTGGGTGCCACCGCGCGATGCCCATGAGGTGACCAAATAAATGGCCGTATCCTTGGCACGCCAATTTGTCATAGAATCCTGCTTGTACTTGCCCAGCAAGATTTCCAGGTACTGGCCAAATATACCAAAAATCTTTTGCTCAAAATTGATGGAGAGTGTCTTGACCAAATCACAGGCAGCGCGTCTTCGCGTATCAATGTCGGAGCCCTCAATGTCACGACGTATATACTCATCCGGACTGTCCTCGAACAGTTCCTCGTCGGAAGGCCTGATGTCCAAATTGGGTATGACCACTTTCTCACATATGCGCGCCAATATCTCTGGATTCTCAAATATGCCGTGGTAATGCTTGCGCTCAGCGACAACCGAAAGAAATTGCAGCGCATTGGATACTAGCTAAATAATCAGGAACATACATAATATTTACCATGCCATTACCACGTGGACAATTGACTTACCGAATCGTATTTTGTGTGCAGACTGGTCTTCACCAGCAACTCCCACACTGCAGTCACAAACTGTTCCATATACGGCTTGAACTCCTCGTCGTATTTGCGCGCATAGAGACAGATGTTCTCGCAGACCTGGGAGCGCAGATGCTCCAATACGCCGGCATCCTCGTCGTCATCGGTGTGCAGAATGGCCACATCGACTGCCAGCTGTTGCAGGAATGCGCCCATCCATGTGCTCATGTTGTCCTCGAAGAACTCGGGCAGATCCTGAGAGTTGAGCGAGAAGAAAACCTTGTTGACCAGCACCAGAGAGCTATAAATGACTTTTAAAGCCTCAGCGTTGCCCTCGTGCAAAGTGCTTAGCTGCATGGTCGCCTGCAACAGATCGGTCAATGGCTTGGCCATACGGTCCAGTACAAACTTGATTTCTTCCCACAAGGTTTGCGATTTAAATTCGTAGCGATAACGCTTGAAGAGCGAATGCGCCGTTTGCAATATGCCGTTGATTATATTGAAATCGCCAGAGGCGAACTTCTCCACCATTTCGTCGATTAGCTGCGGCCACTTCTTGGGAAAATCATGTTTCCCGATGATGCTCACCGCATCGCTCAGTTGCTTCTGCAGCGCCGTCGGTGAGTGCAGCATCAATGTGACAATCAGCGACTTGATCGTGTTGCGATCGCTCGCATGTATGCGATCGGGTTCGTCGCTGTCCTCGTGCGCCGCCCAGTTTCGTTTCACGTAGTTCTTAAATGCAATGGCGCCCGCCACCCGAATGGTCATGTCCACGGTCGTTTTGTCGATCAGGTTAAGCAGCAGCACCGGATAGTTTTGTTGCAATTCCGTTGACTCCAGCAACTTTTCCGCTGCATCCAAAATAAATGTTATATTAGCCAAAGGCATGCTTGCAAATGGGAAAGAGAGCGAAAGAGAGTTGACCACCAATCAACTCTCACTTTTTGCCGTTGATTTTGTAAACCGCTAAGGTGCCGCCGTTTTCCCGCGCGCGCTCAACCACCTTATGCTCCCTTTAAACTCACACACATACGCATATTCTCTCATACTCACCGGGTCTGCGGACATTTGGGTCCGCGCTGAGCGTCTGTTGCAAATAACCGGCAAGCAATTGCAAATTGGCGTCGGTGACTTCCATTTCGTTGCTATGACTATTTATTTAAATTTGTATATCACGTTCGCTGTTGCGATTTTGATTGGGCTGATTGAGCACTATTTTACAACATATAACGAAAGTGCGCACACAAAGCAAATACGAGCAAGCGTCGTGCGAAACGATGGAATGACGAATGTGCCATTGTCGGTGATGGGTGTTTAAGCGATGAACGATATGTGCAGCTATCGCCACTGGCATTAACGATACATCGAGCGCGCAATAATATTGGTTCATTTAATAGCGAGTAATAGGTGACAACATTTTTTGAAATCGTAAACATTTTTTTTTGCAGGAAATAATATCCGAGGGCCTTGGCATGGTTATTCAGACTATAAATATAATTGTATCGGTTTGTTTGCCTGTGGTGATTATACATCTTAAAGGATCCGCCTTCAGCATAAGTAAGTATGCAGCTCGATTATTTGTTGAGGATTGTCTGTTTAAAGTTATTATTGCTTATAGTGGGTGCAACAACTGTGTGTTTCTATTATTCTGTGCTGTTCTTGAAGCTCTGGAGTTACGTGCAGACTAATATGTGGTGTCGGAAGACCTACTACCAGCGGCAGCCGCGTGAGCGACGACCAAGCATCTCTCTAGCCGAGCTCAGTAAGTGTTTTTCATATTCAAAAAGTTATTTTCTGATTTTTTGAAATTTAGAAAGAAAGCATCCCAATAGTAGCGACGATGACGAAGAGATAACCAAGCTGGTACAATATCCAGAAAATTTGAGTTACAAAGACATCCTGTACTTTTTATGCGCACCAACTCTTTGCTATGAGCTCAATTTTCCTCGCACATCACGCGTTCGCAAGCGTTTCTTGCTAAAACGTCTGTTAGAAGTGCTTATTGGTGTGAATGTGTTAATGGCCTTGTTCCAGCAGTGGATTATACCCTCGGTGCGCAATTCTTTGATACCCTTTTCTAACATGGACATGGCATTAGCCACTGAACGTCTGCTGAAACTTGCGGTTAGTATAAGTGACTTTTACTAGATATATATACCAGATTTTATAAAAAAAAAAATATATAATTTGACTTTCAGCTTCCTAATCACTTGGTCTGGCTGTGCTTTTTCTATCTCTTATTCCATTCATTTTTGAACGCCATCGGCGAAGTACTTAACTTTGCCGACCGCAATTTCTACTGTGACTGGTGGAACGCCAATAATATTGATACATTTTGGCGTACTTGGAACATGCCGGTTCATAGGTGGTGTGTCCGTCACCTGTACATTCCCGTCGTACAAATGGGTTATTCGTCGCGTCAAGCATCCACGATAGTGTTCTTATTCAGCGCCTTTTTCCACGAGTACCTGGTAAACTTTCCGTTAAACTTTTTCTCTATTATAACTTTTGTTTATAAATTTTCCTTGTGATGTAGGTTTCGGTACCCTTACAAACGTACAAAATTTGGGCTTTCCTTGGTATGATGGGCCAAATACCGTTATCAGCTATATCGAGGTATATTGAGCGTCGATTGGGTCCACGCATGGGCAATATTATCGTTTGGGCGTCAATTATCCTGGGTCAACCACTGTGCATCATGGCGTATTATCATGACTACGTCGTAACACATTTCCAGAATGCGCTTAATAGCACTGACCATAGTTAGACTTTGGGTAATATAATCTGGTCTGTACTTTTTTAATGATAAGCCAAATGCAAGTTGAGGAAACTTGATGCCACATACAAGTCAATTTTGTAGTTTTGAACGAGTAGTACTGAGTAACATAAATCGATTGTTATTTAATGCATTTTGTTAATGATTTTAGGCATTATGTAAATAAAGAAAATGGATATTGAGTTGCATTAGTTTTAAAATTTTATATGCCTACGTTTTGTAACTAGTTCTATTTGACTAGATCACATTTGGCGGTGCACAACAGCACTTACCTTTTGGCGATAGTTCATCACTACCGTGCTTGAACATATCGATGCTTAGACAACACTATCGATAAGTGCCTGGTCTACTTAGTGGTAACAATTTTTCTCTCCTCCACTAGAGCCAAGCCAAAACATATTCTACTTTTTCTCATAAGAAAAGCAATTTATTTGTAGTGTAATCTACAATTAAAGGTGCGCGTGTTGAATTTGTTATGTGCATTTAATTTGTTACTAAAAATTGAGACCATAATAACCGTTACATTGTTAAGGTAAGCGCGAATACCAATTGCAAATTGGTCAATAGCTCGTCGGCGTTTTCGCGACGCCCGGCACAGACACAAACATGCATATGTATGTACAAGACATATCTTCAAATGTGTGTGTGTGTGGTTCTCGTGCTTTGCAAAGAAAATTTATATCGGCTTGCAAAGGCGCAATCTGCGTGAGTGAAAATCAAAGCTGCTTTAAATTAAAATGCTATTCATTTACAGAAACGTTTGGCGTTGTCAGCAGCACCGACTTCTCCAACTCTGCAAACAATCAGCGGTCTACGTTAGTGCAAAACCAGCGCAACATCAAACTAACTTGAATTACACCACCAACAGCGACGACCCGGCAGAGGGAGCGATTTTCAGTCACGTAAGTGCGGCGCACAGCTAGCTTGGCATCAAAGCTCATGTTTTTGTTTTTTTTTTCTTACAACAGATCATGAGCGGTCGGTATCGCGGTGGTGGCGGTGGCGGAGGAGGAGGTGGCCGCTATGGCGGTGGGGGTGGTGGCTATGGTGGCGGATACAACGATTTTGATAACTATCGCGGCGGTGGAGGCTGTGGAGGAGGCGGTTACAACGACAATTTCGGCCCTGGTCCGAATCCCTTCAATAGTAAGTAATTTATTTCATTGGAATATTATGAATTGCAACAGCAATTAATGCCTGCACAGTTGACAAAAATGTCAACAACGATATCGTTATCGAATCAAAAGTATCGAGGTTTCTTTGAATAAGATGTCATTGCTCAAGTAAATTAGAATATCTTTGCCAGACATTTTTAAGTTTCTCTAGCAAATTGTTTTCTGCTTAATTTTAAAAATGTATAGATTTTCAAAAGGTTTGTATAGCCTTTCCGAGGCCTCTTTAGTTATACCCCTGCATAATTGTGTCGTAAAATGTGCAACGATAGGAAGAGAAATCCTCGACTCACCAAGTATTATATGTATACTCCTAAATCTATCTATTTGAAACAATCTTCAATTAAATTGCTTCATTTTTATTTAATTTTTTAAGTGGGACCCAACATCTCAGGCAATGATCTGATGCATCTGATGAGCGCGATGGCCAGCAATTTTAGCATGAACTCGCAGCCACCACAGCCCATGCGCCAGAGCTGTGGAGAGCTTCGGAATCATCACTGTGGCATGTTTGTTGAGCTGTCTGGGCGCCTGTTTAAAAAGCGCGTAAACCGTTTTGCTGAGTTACGCGATCGCAATGGCGGCGCCTGTCAGCTGGTTGTTTTGGAAGACAAGCATCCTCGTGTGGCCCGTCGCATGAACAATATGCCCGAGAACACAACTCTGACCATTGTGGGCCAAGTAATGAGAAGGCCCCACAACTCATGCAACCAGACAATGCCCACCGGCGAAATTGAGGTGGAGGTACAGGACATACTCAGCATACATTTTCCGGCCAGCGGCACGAAACGTGCTGGCGACAAGCGCACCTACAGCACCATGGCCCAGCAGCAGAGCAGCCTGGGCATCACCAGCACCGAGTACAAAATTGCCAGTGAGTAGCGATGATACGTACATATAACATGTATAAGATGACTATAATTCGTGTTCCTTGCAGAGAATGAGAATATCTTAAAGTACTTTGAGAATCGTGATCTCACCTGTAATGATTTGCGCCGCGATGATGTCGGTAAAACAGTCACTTTGGTTGGCTGGATACCCTCGACCAAAAACAACAAGTTCTTGCAGCTAAAGGATGGCTACGGTCAGACTCAGCTCATGATCGAAGATCAATCTGTGAGTAACTATATAATTTTAGCTAAATAATGATTGGAAATAAGGTTGCAACTTATCAAACATTTTCACAAAATTTCTCGCAATGTTTGGTATAATGTTTTTCTTAATTGCATCAACTTGTATTTTGTATTTGTATTTATTTAAATATCTAAGAGCCCCCTAAAAACATCATTTCAAGGGAGTTCCTGTCATCTACAAAAGTCCTTCTACGTCCTTCTGATATAAATATTGCTGTTCTTTGTTTTAGAAAAATTTGCTAATAGATAATTTTTGTATCTTACAGCTAATGGACACATTTCTGTCTACACCAGAGCAAACTGTGCTGCAAATCGTCGGCAAAGTGCTGGGCCGGCCAAAGGCAAACATAAACTTGGTAGGTGGATGGGTTAATTTAGCCATTCCGAAAGCTTCTGATTTCTGATCTTCTTTTTTCGCTAGAAATACGACACTGGCGAAGTGGAAGTCAGTGTTACCAATGTGAAGGTGTTAAATCCCGACGACCCCTATGAGGGTCCTATCAAGGTTAAAGAGAAACTGCAGAAGATGTCAATTGATGATCTCGATGCCGATGAGGCTGCTGCTGTTTCAGCGAATTCTAGCAGCGCCAATAATGGCGAGGGCGATGTTCATGGCAGCGAATCGGCTGCTCCTGGCGCAGTCCAGACAACTGCCGAGCAGCAGCGTGTAAAAGTGGCGGACACCAACAAATTTGCAGATCGCACGCACAACTGTGGCGAACTGACATCCAATGAAATTAACGAAAAGGTGGTAATATGCGGCTGGCTGGAGTTTCAGCGCATGAACAAATTCTTCATACTGCGTGATGCCTACGGCCAAACGCAGGTGCTCATCTTGGCCAGGACAAAGGGCCTGGAAGAGTATGCCGATTCTGGCGTGCCCATTGAATCGATTGTGCGCGTGGAGGGCACCGTCATACCACGGCCAGCGGCCACCATAAATCCAAAAATGACCACAGGACATGTTGAAATCGAGGCCGAAAAAGTCGACGTACTCAATGCGGCCAAGAAGAATCTCCCCTTTGAGATACGCAAATTTAATCGTGCTGGCGAACGCTTGCGCCTCACGCATCGTTATTTGGACTTGCGCTTTAACGACATGCAGCATAATTTGCGTCTGCGCTCGGCGGTTATTATGCGCATGCGCGAATATTTAATTAACTACTTGGGCTTTGTGGAGGTGGAGACGCCAACGCTGTTTCGTCGCACGCCCGGCGGTGCCCAAGAGTTTGTAGTGCCCACACGCAAGGCGGGCCATTTCTATTCACTCGTTCAGAGTCCACAGCAGTTCAAGCAGATGCTAATGTCCGGTGGCATCGATCGCTATTTTCAGGTGGCCAGATGCTATCGCGATGAGGCCACACGCCCGGATCGTCAGCCGGAGTTTACACAGCTGGACATTGAATTGTCGTTCACCAGCCGCGATGACATAATGCAACTGATTGAGGAGACGCTGCGCTATTCGTGGCCAAAGCATTTGCCCAAGCTTCAGACGCCATTCCGGCGCATCACTTATGAGGAGGCCTTGGAGAAATATGGCACCGATAAGCCGGACACACGGTTTGGTTTTCTGCTTAATAACGTCTCGGACATTGTCGATAAGAGTGACAATTTCAAGGGAAAATTCGACGACTTTGGCGCCTATGCCATTGTAGTACGTGCCAGCGAGGCCTTTTGGAATGGTGCCGCCCGCAAGCATTACGAAAGCCTGAGCAAAGTGTTCTCGGGCACGCTATTTGTGCGCAAATTTAACTTTGCCAATGACGTGCAGGAGAGACTCACTAAATTACTGGGAACTGAGGTGGCAACCGAGATTATTGAGAAATTTGATTTGGAAGAGAACGATTTGCTCTTCCTGTGCATTGGACCCAAGGTGGAGACGGTTAGTAATGCGAAACAATTAGTGTTATCTTGATGCCATCTTTAGCTTCGTTTTTGTATTCTCCACAGCGCAATTTACTGGGTCGCATTCGGCTGGACTATCACGAGTTTCTCGTGGAGAATGTAAAGACCAAGAAATCCAACGACTATCGTTTTCTGTGGGTTGTCGATTTTCCACTATTTGAGCGCAACACAGCCACAAATCAGCTGGAGAGTGTGCATCATCCGTTCACGGCGCCGCTTGTCGAGGATTTGGATAAGTTTGCAACCAGCTGCGACAATCTTGAAACGATTCGTTCCGAAGCATATGATCTGGTGCTAAATGGACAGGAGGTGGGCGGTGGCTCCATGCGCATACACGATCGCGATATGCAGCAGTTCATATTGGAGCAAGTGCTAAAGATTCCCCACGATCATCTGTCGCATTTGTTGAGCGCCCTGGAATCTGGCTGCCCCCCTCATGGTGGCATCGCCTTGGGCCTGGATCGTCTTATAGCTATATTGTGCCGTGCGCGTTCCATACGCGATGTGATTGCATTCCCCAAGTCATTAAACGGGCGGGATCCACTCTCCAATGCACCAGTGCCCATATCAGAGGACGAAATGAAACTCTACCACATCAGCGTGCAACAGGCCGACGCGGAGGAGGACGGTGCTAGCACCAATGATACAGCACACGCTCAGGAGGATGATGATCCAGACGCAGTGCGTGCACCACCATCGCCCATGTCCGGCACCAGCGACACAGAGCAAGCCAGCATGGATGTCGATGTCAAGAACGAGCCTGTCGACGAAGTGCCAGCACCAGAAGCAATAAATATCGACGATAAACTTGAGACTGCGGCGCAAGCTCCACAACTCTCGCCAACAGCCATAAAAGAAGAGCCAGCCAAAACGGCCGAAGACGAAACACCAACCCCAACACCAAAACCAACAGCAGGTGCTGGAGCAGCGGCGACGGCGGCGGCTTCAACAGCCGCGACGCCAGTGACGCGTGCCAAACGCGTAATCAAAAAAAAAGTGTAGGGCGCCTCATTTCGCAAGACGATCAGCAGCGGAGATAAAGATACGACTTAGCATTTTATCCATAAGCTCAAATAACACATGTAACGGCATGTTCAGGATGACGACGAGAAAGTCAACAACCAACCAAGATGTCACCGCTCTAATGCCTAAAATCAGTCAAACCAATGCAGTGTGGCGCCGGAGGGCGGATCCTATTAAATTGTATTGTAAATACCATTGGGGCGCAGTTTTGTGCTCTCTGGTTTAATGCCCATCTATCCATGCAACCCTCTCCTAAGCGGATGCTCTTCGCGCGCCCGCCCACCAACATTCGTAAGTCCATTTTTAATTATATGGCGATTTATTACAATTTACAATATAATTATGTACGAACTGCTATTGTATTGCGATTTGTTAAAAAAAAAAAAATACAATAACTCCATTAATACGGTGCTTTTACTCGTATTACATTCTCGTAGGGGCACTCGGTCCATAACTGGGCAAAAATGTTAAACTTATGCATTATACTAATTAGCTTGTGACATAGGTTTGGTTGTAGCCAAGGCTATTTTCTATTTATCATAAGCGAAACCTTAAAGTAGATTTGATTGATTAGAACAGCAGTACATATTTTTAAAAAAGTATTTTTTCTATTTGAAAATATTGCAAAACTTGCACACTGCACTGCCGATATATTAAAAAAAAATAAAAACATTGTGGAATTTGAAATATGTAAATTGTGTGGCTTGTTTAAAGTTTTTGTATGGAAAAATTTCCAAAGTGAAAATATGAAGTCTTTTTGAGAGTTTAGGGAATACAAGCCTAAACAGCGTAAATATATAGTAACAAGTCGCTATATAATAATATAATAATGTATAATAATAATATATGACTTACTGGCAAGGGAGGATAGCTAAGTATAGATAAAAGCTAGTGCACCTTTGGAATGCTGAATATAGTGTTGTCTATGTGGCCATACGTAAGATTGCGCCTGTAGATCCACCAGTCGAGTGGCTTATTCAATTGACGATCATCCATGTCTGCAGATTCCGTCGAATACGGTTCCTGCTCCTCGACGGAGTCGTCGCTTTCGCTGTCCTTGTGCGGCGGAGGACTGTAGCTGGTCCAGTTCTCATAGGGATCCTTTGCATAGGGCGCCGATGGCAGATTGTTAAAATTTGTGGCCAGCTTGCCAAACTGATCGATGTGCTTTAGCAAAGGATCAACGCTCTGGGCAGGTATCTTGAGTGTCAGCGCGGGTGTGCGCGGATGTTTCACGCCAAGCGTGGGCAAGTCCGTCCACTTGCCCAGCGCATAGGGTGAGGTATCGTTGGTGTCTATCAGAAACATGCCACGCGTGCTGTGGCGTATGTTGTCACCGGCCTCCAGCAGATAATTTGTGGGCGGACACATGCCCAGCAGATAGGGGATGTAACCACTGCAGGCCCAGCCCCAGAAGCCTTTGGGCGAGCGTATGGACTCCAGGTAATAAGCCATCGCGCGCTGATGGCTGCAAGCAAATGAATCTGCAAGAGACATTCGTGAATTAATCAATTTTTCTCATCTTATCTTCAGCATATGCACCCACTCGTCCACTGCTGTCCCGTGCAGCCAGGCTGTGAAATGCCACCGTTCATGTAGAAATCAGCATGGCCGCAGCGCTCCAGCTTGCCCTGGACCAGCGCATTTGTGTGTATGACATCGACGAAGTCGGCATCGCTGGGATCCAGTTTGTCGTTGAGACCGGCGGTAATAAAAAGCGGCATCGCCGGATCCAGGCCAGTGATGCGGGGCAGCTTAAAGGATTTCAACTGGCGCGCTATATAGTTGGGCACCTGGGCACCCAGCGAGAAACCAATTATGTGTATATCCGTGTTGCCTGCCTCCACCAGACGCTCCACCAGCTGCGCAGCACAGGCTCCCGCTTGCCGTGTGTTGTGCACGGCGCTTATATAGCAAGGCCCGGGCGCCAGCACGCTCCAGTCCACATAGATTATGTTGTGCTCCGATTTGGCCAGGTATTCTAAAGAGAATTTCAAGCATATTGATAATTGTAAACATTTCATAGTTTGATAATATTATAGAGGGAGTTTGGGATAGGTATCTTAAATTGGTTTGGAAACTAGTGAAATTCCGATTTAAATATTCGACCTACACATCGAGAGGAGAATAATTACTTCCAATTTCAAGACAACATTTGTTCTTGGCGTTCATTTAGACGGATAGGCGGATAGACTACGGACGGATGGACATTCGGACCTAGCTGATCAAGAATATATATGCAGGGTGCCTGTTACAATTTTGTTACTCTTACTCTTACTCAATTTTGTTAGAATTATTCCCATTATTTGCTCACCGTTTCGCATTTGTTGAAGCGGGTTGAGAAACATGTCGGAGTTGTAGCCATGTATAAGTATCTTGGTGGGATGTCGTGGATTAAAGAAGGAGTCGGTGAGATTCGACTGTTCTGACGTCTCAGCAATGTGCAGACTTTGACGATCCATGACATTGTGACGCGTGTAAATATAATACTTAACATCCGGATCGGGACAACTGCGTCCTATGGCCCATTTACAGGGTCCGACGGTAATATCCCGATTGCTGGTGGGCTTCGATGTCACCGGAGCTGCAGTTGTTTGTTCCGTAAGATTATCCAAATGTGGCGCGGATTGGGTTATAAAATCAAAGACAGACGCGCCACGGCAGCTGCAAACTATCCCAAGAGCTGGTCTTATTTTAGGATTTGTTTTTAAGATCGGGCAGTCACTTACCCAAAAGCAGGTAAGCCACCGCCAGCAGTCTGTGACTCATTTCGAACATTTGCTTTTGAATGCAATTGCAATTAACGTATTTAAATTACAGCGGCACAAGCTGTGCATTGTCCGGAAATGTTGGAGAAACTGAATGCCGGCCCTCAAGCCGATGACCATTTTGGCCAATCTGCAGTAAGTTGTAAGCGATCGAGTGTGTGTCTGTTTTTATTATAAAGTGAGAGTTGCCAAAGAAACCAGTATGAGTGCCCTTTTCGGGAGTGAACGACTGCGAGATGCCCCAGGCCCAGAGACGAGCTGCCGTTACAAGCATTCGCATTATCTGCTGAATATAACTTAGGCTAAATTCTTGTAACTAGACATCCTGCTAAGGAGGCGAAGAAGAAGGACCTTGCCCTAAAATGTAACTAGACTAAGGGCACGGCAATATCAGCTCAGCTCGTCGCCCTGATCGGGAATATTGTAAGTTGTGCTCTCAGAGTGTGTTCCTTCCACCTGTTACATACCTTGTCACAGGCACAGTATACCCACTTTTATTCATGTTCGATGGGTTTCAGGTGTAAAAAGTGAAAACGTTGAGAATAGGAGGATTAGCTAATCGTGAATTAAACCGCAGAGAGACCAACGCGAAGACCTCGGCGTAGAGTTGATCTGCACGCACACGCACACTCACACACACACACGCACACCTGTAGGTAAGCGTACGTGTTTGTTGTTTCAATTTTTACGCGATGAATGAAAACTTTGTTCACGGGCACGTCGCAAAAGGGAACGATCGGGTAATGTCTCTTGTCTTCAACTTTTATAGCGATACAACCTTTCAAGTATGGAGCTTCAGCTCTGTTGACTCAGTCCAAATACCAGATAACATTGTATTCTTTCCCGACCCATGCCAACAACAGAGCCCAATAAGACATTTCAATTTGGGTTTGTTTTTATTAACCTAGTTGGTTCGGCATAAGTCATTTGCAATACTTTTTTATGGGATTCGTAATTGCATGTTGATTTACTCAGATTGTTCTCAAGCTTATATCTTCGCAATTTATTCAAGCTGCCGACGACCTTAGCCTATATGGGAATATATGTGTAAATGTATGTCGCCTTCTCCGCTCGGACCCAAAGTTTAGATTGTCGTTTTTTTAAATTACAATCGATTCTACGGATCCTTACGAGTCCGAAATTAGACATTATTTGGTGGAGATATTCAAAAAAAAAATCATCAGAAAAGGAAGACTTTACAAACGAATCGTTTATTGGCCAATTCATAGGAACTATGCGTCTGATAATTGGGAGTAAAATTCTTCTTTTTTGTTTAGTCCAATTATTAAGAAAGCAGCTGTTAAATAAGCTAAATGAAATATGCCTAATACCCTCTCAGACTGCTCCGGGTCAGCAGCTCCTAATAAAACATGTTCATATTAAATACTGCGGTCAAGCTAACAAAGTGTTAAATTATGAGTGAGTCAAGCGGACGAAAAAACCGGCGCCCAGAAAATAAGCAAGCGATCAAAAGACGAGTGAGAACGATGCGCCACATTGCTAAGCATACACACCCACACAAACACGTGTATGCGCAGAGATGAGCCAAAGCCAGAGATAAGCAGCCACCTGTTCGTGTGTGTGTTCGCTGTCATTTATCTACCTACGCTCACGCGCTCACGATTCAATTTGGTGCTGATCGCTGATTGGTCCACACAATAGCTGCTGGCAGTGATGTTCTCGCCTAGTCGATTGAATGCTCTTTTTTCTGAGCGCCGTTTTTTTGGATCAACTCAACTTTACATATGTTTGGGTATGTGTTTTCGCAATTCATTTCTACTTAAGCTTGCTTGTGCGTTATCTACCTTTGAACGGCGATTACTCCAGTTTGTGGATTGTTTGCTCAGTATTCTGTTCTCCGACTTACGAATCTTCAAAGGTATGTATTTCCAAAATCGGCAGAACTAAACCGATGTAATTTTGTTTACAAAAACTAATATATTTTATATTTTTCAGCCTAACCGGCCAACGTTCATGGACAACATATAATCAACAAATAATAAGATCGGCGTAAATATGTCTCTTTAAAATAATAAATATAATTTTTTCGCGCGGAAATATGTACTCTGTGGAACGGCGGAGCTGCGCGAGATTATGACATAATTCATTTTATATTCTATAGCCAACTTTGCCACACTCATGGAGAACATTGAATCAGAAAATGATTGCTATTCATGGTACCTAGTGGACCTGTATATCCTTGGTTCTTTCATATCATAGATATAGTCCTAGCGAACCTAAATGACAACGTTCTTGCAAAATGCGTAGGAACTGCGTCCAAAATATGTATGCTTTTCTTTAATAGCCGCACCCAGCAACAGTACCGCCCCCTTGATGGTTTCTAGTTGACTAGCATATCCTTGCTAATAACATACCATGGATATAGTCCTAGCGAACCTAAAGGATCAGATCCCTGCAAAATGTGCATTAAAATGGTCCAAAAACTTGTATGCTTTTTCTTTCAGGAGCCCTTTTACATTAGCTGCAGCTGCAGCTGTTGCTTAACAGCCGGCTTACAGCACTCTTGCTACATAACAGTGCTCATTTTAATTGAGTTACATTTTTGCCCCTTAATGCTATGCAATGAAAAATTTTATTCAAAGAACTCGTCGACCTTCTGGGCATTTCTGTTCGCCTGGTATTTGAGTGAAATTTTAGTGCAAAATTGGGACCCAGCCGGCAGTGAGGGTGCCCCGTGAGGGTATGCAATGGATTTTTTCGGTCGCAAAAATATTTCTCGTCGACCTTCTGGGCATTTCTGTTCGCCTGGTATTTTGGCAGATTTTAAGAAAAATCTCGGCAGCCAGCGGTTGCCAACAAACACCTCTCTCACGGGTGTGCAATAGGTTTCTAAAGACCGTTCATTTTTGAATTTGTAAATAAAAAAACAGGAATTTCTTTTGTATTTTAAATAATTGATTTATTTACGCTTGAATTTACAAAATTGTTTATTTTATATGCTAATTTTCTTAATTAGTTCTCTTAAAATTATACAAAACGAGCCTAAATTAAATTTAGTGCTTATTTTAACTTAAAATATCTATATTTGGCTTAATTAAAGTCCAATCCTGGAAATATTTGCTTTGTCAGACGTGAAGGTCCTTAGAGCTTCGTGTAGTCCTTAATTTGTCAGCCTGAAATTAAAAAAACACATTTAAATTATATATATAAATAATTAAAAAAAAGCAGAAAATAGGCCATAACTCGGTCATGTCCTTGCAGATTCTCAAAGGACATGGTGCGTTAGGATCGTATAGACCCCCTGCATCGATCTGCATCATAAAAATATGGGGTCATCTAAGAATCATATGACTCGAAATTGGACTTGTAAAATTTTCATCCCGGAGCGCACGAAAATGGTCCGAAAACACAAATCATTAAATATCTTCAAAACTACAAGGACGATCTTGATGAAATTAGGCCACGTGGTAGTCTTGGTCAATACAATTATTTTCACATATGACTCGCCAGGATACGCAAGGATATGCTCGAGTTATGGCTTATTTACTTCAAACCAAATCAAATCAAACCAAAACATTATGTCGAGATGTGGACAACGGCGAAATTATATCATATCTCCGCGCGGAGATATGTCGCTCCAAAACGACATAATCTCGCCGTGATCAACGGCGGAGTTATGTCGTTTTCAAACGTCATATCTCCCGCCGCTCTAAGAACGAAAATCTCCGCGCGGAGATATGTCGCTCCAAAACGACATAATCTCGCCATGATCAACGTTGGAGTTATGTCGTTTTCAAACGTCATATCTCCCGCCGCTCTAAAAACGAAAATCTCCGCGCGGAGATATGTCGCTCCAAAACGACATAATCTCGCCATGATCAACGTTGGAGTTATGTCGTTTTCAAACGTCATATCTCCCGCCGCTCTAAGATCGAAAATCAGACTATTTTTAGCTGAGAGTTGCTTTCTAACATAACTTAATCTCGCGCAGATCAACGGCGAAGCTATGTCTCTGACTCTTTCGAATTACTCACCTTAACTGTCCAAAAAATTCCTCACAAAAAAAACATCAGAACTTATTTATTTTTCAATATTTTTATTTTGTTTCATAACATCGTATTTTCATTGCTTAATTATTATTTATATAGTTATATGAAAAAATATATGTTTTACAACATTTGAATATTTAGTTTTTATTTTATGTATCTACACTTAGAAGGTATTATCCGGCGTTGCCCAAGTAAGCTTTGTCTGGTCTTTTCCAGCTTTATTCCTTCAGTCCTCCCTTTTGTCAAGTTGTGACTTTATTTACCTGAAATAAATAATATTTAATATATTAGAAAAAATCAAAAAAAACATCAAAGTGGTGTAATTTACAAACTAATCGGTTTTTGGTCAATAAGTCTTTTGAACCTACCGATTTGTAATTTGCTTGAACTTTTTTTAGCCCATTGATATTTAAAATGTTTGAATGACAATTTATAGTAGGGATCCGTACAAATTCAAAAAGGTGTAAAATTACAAAATCGGACATTTTTTGTCCGAGATATTCAACAAAAATCATCAAAAAAGTTTTGATTTTCGAGCCGACCCCGATTTTGGCATCGTTTTTTGGTCAACAACTTTTTTAAGCCCATCGATATTTAAAATGTTTGAATGACAATTTATAGTAGGGATCCGTACAAATTCAAAAAGGTGTAAAATTACAAAATCGGACATTTTTTGGCCGAGATATTCAACAAAAATAATCAAAAAAGTTTTGATTTTCGAGCCGACTCCGATTTTGGCAAAAAACGTGATGTAACCCCTTGCCATTTGGTCAATTTTGGTCAAAATTTAGATATCCATTTTTTTGATGCCAATCGTTAGTACTGATCCTTACGAGTATAAAATGGTATACAATTCAAAAATCTGGCATTTTTTGGCTGAGATATTACAAAAAATCATCATTGACTTTACAAACGAATCGGTTTTTGGTCAACAACTTTTTTTAGCCCATTGATATTTAAAATGCTTGAATGACAATTTATAGTAGGGATTCGTACAAATTCAAAAAGGTGTAAAATTACAAAATCTGACATTTTTTGGCCGAGATATTCAACAAAAATCATCAAAAAAGTTTTGATTTTCGAGCCGACTCGATTTTGGCAAAAAACGTGATGTAACCCCTTGCCATTTTGTCAATTTTGGTCAAAATTTAGATATTCATTTTTTTGATGCCAATGATTAGTACTGATCCTTACGAGTATAAAATGGTATTCAATTCCAAAATCGGACATTTTTTGGCCGAGATATTCCAAAATATCATCAAAACAGGTTTGATTTTCGAACCAAACCCGATTTTGGCATCGTTTTTTGGTCAACAACTTTTTTAAGCCCATCGATATTTAAAATGTTTAAATGACAATTTATAGTAGGGATCCGTACAAATTCAAAAAGGTGTAAAATTACAAAATCGGTCATTTTTTGGCCGAGATATTAAAAGAAAATCATCAAAAATGGTTTGATTTTCGAACCAAACCCGATTTTGGCATCGTTTTTTGGTCAACAACTTTTTTTAGCCCATCGATATTTAAAATGTTTAAATGACAATTTATAGTAGGGATCCGTACAAATTCAAAAAGGTGTAAAATTACAAAATCGGTCATTTTTTGGCCGAGATATTCAACAAAAATCATCAAAAAAGTTTTGATTTTCGAGCCGATTCCGATTTTGGCAAAAAACGTGATGTAGCCCCTTGCCATTTGGTCAATTTTGGTCAAAATTTAGATATCCATTTTTTTGATGCCAATCGTTAGTACTGATCCTTACGAGTATAAAATGGTATACAATTCCAAAATCTAGCATTTTTTGGCTGAGATATTCCAAAAAATCATCATTGACTTTACAAACGAATCGGTTTTTGGTCAACAACTTTTTTTTAGCCCATTGATATTTAAAATGTTTGAATGACAATTTATAGTAGGGATCCGTACAAATTCAAAAAGGTGTAAAATTACAAAATCGGACATTTTTTGGCCGAGATATTCAACAAAAATCATCAAAAAAGTTTTGATTTTTGAGCCGACTCCGATTTTGGCAAAAAACGTGATGTAACCCCTTGCCATTTGGTCAATTTTGGTGAAAATTTAGATATCCATTTTTTTGATGCCAATCGTTAGTACTGATCCTTACGAGTATAAAATGGTATACAATTCAAAAATCTGGCATTTTTTGGCTGAGATATTACAAAAAATCATCATTGACTTTACAAACGAATCGGTTTTTGGTCAACAACTTTTTTTAGCCCATTGATATTTAAAATGCTTGAATGACAATTTATAGTAGGGATTCGTACAAATTCAAAAAGGTGTAAAATTACAAAATCGGACATTTTTTGGCCGAGATATTACAAAAAATCATCATTGACTTTACAAACGAATCGGTTTTTGGTCAACAACTTTTTTAAGCCCATCGATATTTAAAATGTTTAAATGACAATTTATAGTAGGGATCCGTACAAATTCAAAAAGGTGTAAAATTACAAAATCGGTCATTTTTTGGCCGAGATATTAAAAGAAAATCATCAAAAATGGTTTGATTTTCGAACCAAACCCGATTTTGGCATCGTTTTTTGGTCAACAACTTTTTTTAGCCCATCGATATTTAAAATGTTTAAATGACAATTTATAGTAGGGATCCGTACAAATTCAAAAAGGTGTAAAATTACAAAATCGGTCATTTTTTGGCCGAGATATTAAAAGAAAATCATCAAAAATGGTTTGATTTTCGAGCCGACTCCGATTTTGGCAAAAAACGTGATGTAACCCCTTGCCATTTGGTCAATTTTGGTGAAAATTTAGATATCCATTTTTTTGATGCCAATCGTTAGTACTGATCCTTACGAGTATAAAATGGTATACAATTCAAAAATCTGGCATTTTTTGGCTGAGATATTACAAAAAATCATCATTGACTTTACAAACGAATCGGTTTTTGGTCAACAACTTTTTTTAGCCCATTGATATTTAAAATGCTTGAATGACAATTTATAGTAGGGATTCGTACAAATTCAAAAAGGTGTAAAATTACAAAATCGGACATTTTTTGGCCGAGATATTACAAAAAATCATCATTGACTTTACAAACGAATCGGTTTTTGGTCAACAACTTTTTTAAGCCCATCGATATTTAAAATGTTTAAATGACAATTTATAGTAGGGATCCGTACAAATTCAAAAAGGTGTAAAATTACAAAATCGGTCATTTTTTGGCCGAGATATTAAAAGAAAATCATCAAAAATGGTTTGATTTTCGAACCAAACCCGATTTTGGCATCGTTTTTTGGTCAACAACTTTTTTTAGCCCATCGATATTTAAAATGTTTAAATGACAATTTATAGTAGGGATCCGTACAAATTCAAAAAGGTGTAAAATTACAAAATCGGTCATTTTTTGGCCGAGATATTAAAAGAAAATCATCAAAAATGGTTTGATTTTCGAGCCGACTCCGATTTTGGCAAAAAACGTGATGTAACCCCTTGCCATTTGGTCAATTTTGGTCAAAATTTAGATATCCATTTTTTTGATGCCAATCGTTAGTACTGATTCTTACGAGTATAAAATGGTATACAATTCCAAAATCGGATTTTGGCAAAAAACGTGATGTAACCCCTTGCCATTTGGTCAATTTTGGTCAAAATTTAGATATCCATTTTTTTGATGCCAATCGTTAGTACTGATCCTTACGAGTATAAAATGGTATACAATTCAAAAATCTGGCATTTTTTGGCTGAGATATTACAAAAAATCATCATTGACTTTACAAACGAATCGGTTTTTGGTCAACAACTTTTTTTAGCCCATTGATATTTAAAATGCTTGAATGACAATTTATAGTAGGGATTCGTACAAATTCAAAAAGGTGTAAAATTACAAAATCGGACATTTTTTGGCCGAGATATTACAAAAAATCATCATTGACTTTACAAACGAATCGGTTTTTGGTCAACAACTTTTTTAAGCCCATCGATATTTAAAATGTTTAAATGACAATTTATAGTAGGGATCCGTACAAATTCAAAAAGGTGTAAAATTACAAAATCGGTCATTTTTTGGCCGAGATATTAAAAGAAAATCATCAAAAATGGTTTGATTTTCGAACCAAACCCGATTTTGGCATCGTTTTTTGGTCAACAACTTTTTTTAGCCCATCGATATTTAAAATGTTTAAATGACAATTTATAGTAGGGATCCGTACAAATTCAAAAAGGTGTAAAATTACAAAATCGGTCATTTTTTGGCCGAGATATTAAAAGAAAATCATCAAAAATGGTTTGATTTTCGAACCAAACCCGATTTTGGCATCGTTTTTTGGTCAACAACTTTTTTTAGCCCATCGATATTTAAAATGTTTAAATGACAATTTATAGTAGGGATCCGTACAAATTCAAAAAGGTGTAAAATTACAAAATCTGACATTTTTTGGCCGAGATATTCAACAAAAATCATCAAAAAAGTTTTGATTTTCGAGCCGACTCCGATTTTGGCAAAAAACGTGATGTAACCCCTTGCCATTTGGTCAATTTTGGTCAAAATTTAGATATCCATTTTTTTGATGCCAATCGTTAGTACTGATCCTTACGAGTATAAAATGGTATACAATTCCAAAATCTAGCATTTTTTGGCTGAGATATTCCAAAAAATCATCATTGACTTTACAAACGAATCGGTTTTTGGTCAACAACTTTTTTAAGCCCATCGATATTTAAAATGTTTAAATGACAATTTATAGTAGGGATCCGTACAAATTCAAAAAGGTGTAAAATTACAAAATCGGTCATTTTTTGGCCGAGATATTAAAAGAAAATCATCAAAAATGGTTTGATTTTCGAACCAAACCCGATTTTGGCATCGTTTTTTGGTCAACAACTTTTTTTAGCCCATCGATATTTAAAATGTTTAAATGACAATTTATAGTAGCGATCCGTACAAATTCAAAAAGGTGTAAAATTACAAAATCGGTAATTTTTTGGCCGAGATATTAAAAGAAAATCATCAAAAATGGTTTGATTTTCGAACCAAACCCGATTTTGGCATCGTTTTTTGGTCAACAACTTTTTTCAGTCCATCGATATTTAAAATGTTTGAATGACAATTTATAGTAGGGATCCGTACAAATTCAAAAAGGTGTAAAATTACAAAATCGGTCATTTTTTGGCCGAGATATTAAAAGAAAATCATCAAAAATGGTTTGATTTTCGAACCAAACCCGATTTTGGCAAAAAACGTGATGTAACCCCTTGCCATTTGGTCAATTTTGGTCAAAATTTA